TCCATCGTGTGGTTGGCCCCGCCCCCTTTGCGTCGCTTCGTGCTGCCGGACGGGAAATCACGACTCTACACGTCTTTGTATTGACTTTGTATGTAAACTCACTGCCCCAAACACTTGCTTCGCTTTTGGTCTGAAAGCACCATTAACCCTTTTTATTAATACATTGGGCCTTTCTCAATCTGTGTTCTTGTCTGTACTTGTGTTCTTTTGTGGCCCAAGCACTGTCCCAAGCACAAGTTTGCATTTTGGCAAGAACGGTTAAAAATCCCGGAAATGTTCTTGATACGCCCATTTTACCGAAGACCCATCGGTTGGTAACTTGTGTGAACTTAAGTAGCAATTAGCTGCACTACCGTAGGCTGCAGTTTCAGGACCGCAATCCTAGGACCGGAACTGCAAATTCAGGACCCTTGTTTACTTTGATACTGCCAGCTAGCTAACTGGCTAGCTACCACCACCACTCCACTAGATGGCACTGTCGCAAAAGAACTAGGGTCCTAGAACTGCGGTCCCAGGATTGCGGGGGTCCTGAAACTGCAGCCTCCAGGTACTGCAGCTTCATACTATTGGTGAACTTGATGGCACAGATATCCCAGCATTCATTTCAGCATTCAAGCGAGGGGCTGAAAGAAGCTGATAGAGAGTCCAACAACAGAACATTTTGTACTATTGTTATTTCATCACTAAATCCACTTCTGAGAAAGTTTGAGGCGAGAAATAAAGTTCCAAGATGGCGCCGCAGACTGGGATTACGCTCCAGAGTGCTTTTTGTGTTTTTGTTAATTAACGCTGTTTTCTGCCATCCCTCTCTGGTAACTTTTACTAGAGAAGAGCTCTTAAACATTGGACTTTCAACTGCTCATACTATTCCACTGCTCTTTATTGACCCTGGAACTTTCCCAGAGTTATTAGTTGGAGGAGCGGCAGCTCTGTTTGGGATCCTTTGAAAACAGGACAGGGGAAAATGTGCAGGCGCGCTGGTTAAGCTGAGACAGCGGGGATTTCGCACTGCGCTCCCTTCAATCCACCTGCCGAATGTCTGCTCTCTGGCCAACAAAATGGATGAACTGCTGCTCCTCAACAGAACTAACTTGGACGTCTGCAGATCTGCTGCCCTTAGTTTCACTGAATCCTGGCTAACTGAGCGCATCCCGGACAGAGCACTTCATCTACTGGTATTTAATCTCATCTGCGCAGATCGCGGAAGGGAGCTCACGGGAAAAACACGGGGAGCCGGACTCTGTGTCTATATAAACGAAGGTTGGTGCACAGATGTCACAGTGTTGAAGAAATCATGCAGGCCTCAATTAGAGACATTATTTATAAACTGTAAACCGTTTTATTCAGCGCGGGAGTTTTCCTCGTTTGTTCTGGTCACTGTTTACATTCCACCTCAGGCCTGTGTTAGTGAGGGGTTACTACACCTGGCCGACCAGATAACTAACGTGGAGAAAAAACATCCAGACTCCCTGCTCATTGTTCTTGGGGACTTTAACAAAGCAAACCTCAGTCATGAACTCCCAAAGTACAGACAGCATATTAATAATGCCCCAACAGGGACACTAACACTCTGGACCACTGCTACACAACATTAAAGGACGCCTATCGCTCTGTTCCCCATGCAGCCTTAGGACTCTCTGATCACTGTCTGGTTCATCTTCTCTCAACACACAGGCAAAAACTCTTCAGTTCTTCAGAACTGAAGAAGTCCTTTGGATGAGGGACGAAACGTCTTCCAGTATCTTCAACCAAGTCCAGTTGCCCTTGATTTTAACCTTCGTTGGATAACTATGACCTGGATGACTGAGAATCTTCATAGACACAGGCAAAAACTGAAATCTGCTAAACCTGTTGTAAAGACTGAAAAGATGGACCAACGAGTCAAAGCTGGAGTTACAGGCCTGCATTGACTGCACTGACTGGAGTGTTTTTGAGGCTGCAGCCACTGACCCGGACGAACTAATTGACACTGTGACATCCTACATCAGTTTTTGTGAGGACATGTGTGTGCCGACTAAAACCTTCCGCTCATACAACAACCAAAAACCCTGGTTCACGGCGAAACTCAGGAAGCTTCGCCAGACCAAGGATGAGGCCTTCAGAAGTGGGAACAGAGTCCTGTACTACCAGGCCAGGAACACTCTGACTAAAGAGGTCAAAGCTGCAAAGAGGTGCTATGCTGAAAAGCTACATAACAGCTTTGCAGCCAACGACCCTGCCTCAGTGTGGAGAGGCCTGCTGACACTCACTAACTACAAGAGACCATCCCCCAACACTGCTGGTACTCATCGACTACCAAACGAGCTGAATGGTTTCTGCTGTAGGTTTGAAAAGCCCAGAGTCACACCTCTCCTTCCCCCTCTGCCCTCTCACCTGCACTCAAGATCTGTGAAGAGGACGTGAGCCACCTCTTCCAAAGGCAGAAGATCAGGAAGGCTCCTGGACCTGACGGTGTCTCCATCCTGCCTGAAAATCTGTGCAGACCAGCTGGCCCCCATCTTCACTCAGATCTTCAACAAATCACTGGAGCTGTGTGAAGTTCCCTCCTGCTTCGAACGCTCCACAGTCATCCCGGTCCCAAAAAAACCCTCCATCTCTGGACTAAATGACTACAGGTCTTTCGCCCTGACATCTGTAGTCATGAAGTCCTTTGAAAGACTGGTGTTGGCCCACCTGAAGGACATTACAGGTCCCCTATTGGACCCCCTGCAGTTTGCCTACAGGGCTAACAGGTCTGTAGATGCTGTGAACTTGGGTCTGCATTACATCCTGCAACACCTCGACTCTCCAGGGACATATGCAAGGATCCTGTTCGTGGACCTCAGCTCGGTGTTCAACACCATCATCCCGGACATCCTCAGCACCAAATTCACCCAGCTCACTGTGCCAGCCTCCTCCTGACTGACAGGAGTCAGCAGGTGAGGCTGGGAAACATCACATCCAGCACCCGTACTATCAGCACTGGCGCCCCCCAGGGGTATGTGCTCTCCCCACTGCTCTTTTCCCTCTACACCAACGACTGCACCTCAAGAGACCCATCTGTCAAACTCCTGAAGTTCGCTGATGACACAACGGTCATTGGCCTCATCCGGGACGGTGATGAGTCGGGCCAACAGACGGGAGGTCGATCAGCTGGCTCTCTGGTGCGGTCAGAACAACCTGGAGCTTAACACGCTCAAAACTGTGGAGATGACCGTGGACTTAAGGAGGAGCCCCCCACTCTGCCCCCCATCACCATACTCAACAGCCCTGTGTCTGCTGTGGAATCCTTCAGGTTTCTGGGTTCCACTATATCCCAGGACCTGAAGTAGGAACCCAACACTGACACCATCATGAAGAAGGCCCAGCAGAGGACGTACTTCCTGCGTCAGCTCAGGAAGCTCAACCTGCCTAAGGAGCTGCTGATCCAGTTCTACACAGCCATCATCCAGTCTGTTCTCTGCACCTCCATCACTGTCTGCTTTGGATCTGCCGCCAAAAAGGACAGGAGCAGACTACAACGGACAGTCAGGACTGCAGAAAAAATAATGGGTGCCAACCTGCCCTCCATTCAGGACTTCCAGAGTCAGGAAACTGTACACCAAAACCAAAAGACACAGAAGCAGTTTCTTCCCACAAGCCATCACTCTGATGAACAGCTGATTTCTGACTCACAGTGTCAGGAACAATTCCTGTGCAATAACCCAGTAACTCTGTCTCTAATCAGCCACCTGCACTATTTGTCAATATGTCTATATTGTTTTGTTCATAGTGTGTATATTAGTGTTGTCTATACTGTAGTTTGTGTCTGATTTTATTTTATTATTATTTTATTATTGTGTTATGGTATTTTTGTATGAGTAAGCACATCATGAGCAATGTACAATCCAAATTCCTCGTATGTGTACACATACATGGCAATAAATGCTGATTCAGAACTGTGTAGATGTCGAATATTGGCAGTTTTACTAAAAATGATGGCGAATCTAAAATGTGCTCAAACATTTTCGGAGCTGTGACGCTCCGCAACCGTTAGCGGGGGAAGCTAACGAGCCGGCCGACCAGATCAGCTCACAGAGCCCTCGGACACGCAGACCACTGCAGCCAATACAGCAGAGTCCAGACCCACAGCTGTGATAGTTTTAACGTTCGTTTTTATTTGCTTTTATTTTATTTTATTTTTTTATGTGCAAATATATCTTGGTAAGTTAAAATCTACAATAAACCCTGATAGTAATACGTTTTGAAAAAAATGTCATCAGTTGAAAGCGGAACGAAGATCTCCCGCATTTCCGCTGTCGGAACTTAAGAGTGTGACATCTGGCGGAAGTAAACAATACCAGCGCCAGCGTTAGCTGCATGTGTTAAAATCGCTGTAAGTTATTGTAGTCTTAGCGCCGGCAATTATTTAATTTGTGATGAAGCAACAATGTCTTCAGTTGAGAGTTTGAGAGAGTTTGTCAACGAGCGACTAACTGCTGCTGCTGAAGAAATATTCAGAGTTTTTAAAAACACTATCGTCGAGTACGAAGAAGAGATCGATCGTCAGCGCAGACTGCTGGATATCGCTTGGAAACCCGAAATAAAGTTACACAGGATAGGTGAGGAAAGATTCATTATATAAGTAACACAAAACAGGGGGAATATATTTATATAAAAGTGTTTGAATAAATACTGATTCTTTAATATACTGTATACTGGTACTCATCTCCCCACATGTCTGAATTTCTTCTTTTATCATCGCAGTAGTAAGGTTAGCCTGTTCCTTTTGTTCTCTGTCCCTCCAGAGCTCCCACAGCAACATGTCTGTAAGGAGGAGGAGGTTCTGGCTGACCAGCAGCTCTGGATTCAGGAGAGGATCCCCGGTCTGGACCAGGAGGACCCACAGCCTCCACAGGTTAAAGAGGAACAGGAGGAACTCTGTACCGGTCAGGAGGGAGAGCAGCTTGTAGTGAAGCAGGAGACTGACACCTTTATGTTGACTTATGAGGAAAGTGACCACAGTGAAGCCGAACTGAAAAGTGACCACCAGCTCCTCTCTCACAACTGTCATGTAGCTGAGAGCCAAGATCAGAAAGGAGGCGAGCATGAAGACTCAGGATCAACTAGAGATGCAGAGCCAAAACTAAAGAATCAAGATCACAACAGCAGAAGCCCCAGAAACAATGTACACAAGTCTTCCATGTCAGAGGTTCACCATGATCCTCACACAGGTAAAAACTTTTTCACATGTGACACATGTGGAAAAGGTTTTCAGCACAAGTCAAAATTTCAGAGACACCTGAGAATTCACACAGATGAGAGGCCGTATTCATGCAAAACATGTGGGAAATCTTTTAGCCGAAGGAGTGGCTTGAAAGTCCATATGAGAATCCACACAGGTGAGAAGCCATATTCTTGTCACACATGTGGGAAAGACTTCCGAACCAGCGAACAATTGCAACTCCATATGAGAACCCACACAGGCGAAAAGCCGTATTCTTGCGAAACATGTGGGAAATCTTTTAGCCAGAGGAGTAACTTGATAGCCCATCTGACAACCCACACAGGTGAGAAGCCCTATTCTTGTGAAACTTGTGGTAAAGACTTCAGAACCAGCGATCACTTGCTTCTTCACATGCGATCCCACACAGGTGAGAAGCCATACCTTTGCAAAACCTGCGGTAAAAGATTCCGTGACACTTCAGCATTTAAAGAACATACGAGAACCCACACAGGTGAGAAGCCGTATTCTTGCAAAACATGTGGGAAAGCCTTCAGAACCAGCAGTCAGTTGCAAATCCATATAAGAATCCACACAGGTGAGAAGCCGTATTCTTGTGAAACATGTGGGGAAACTTTCAGAGTTAGTAGTCAATTGAAAATCCACATAAAAAGAAAACACAAAAAGATGTGTTGATGCCTCTGATTTGACACGGCACAGAAGGCAGCATACAGACAAGTAATCTTGTGGGAGACAATTCATTTCTAGAAGTTTGTGGTCAAAACACAAGAACTTACAAAAGTGAAGAGCTGCATAATTGCAGCACTTGTGCTAACAGTTTTAATGAAATCACATACTCAAAACTCCCGAGGATCAATATACTTCTATGGTAATGAAGTATTTTGAGCACTATGTCCTGTCCCACTTCAAGTCCACTACAGACCCACTCCTGCACCCCCTGCAGTTCACCTACAGAGCCAATAGGTCTGTGAACAATGCAGTAAACATGCCTTCACTACACCTCCAGCAACTGGACTCCTTAGGAACCTACGCCAGGATCCTGTTTGTGGATTTCAGCTCTGCTGCTCTCCCAGCTGAGCATGCCTGACGCCACCTTCAGGTGGTTCACAGACTTCCTGTCTGACAGGAAGCAGCACGTGAAGCTGGGGAAAACATGTCTCTGACTCCAGGACCATCAGCATCAGTTCACCTCAAGGCTGCGTTCTTTACCTTCTGCTCTTTTCTCTGTACACTAACAGCTGCACATCCAGTCACTAGGGGTGTAACGGTATACAAAAATCTCAGTTCAGTACGTACCTCGGTTTTGAAGTCACGGTTCAGTTTATTTTTTAAATAATTATAAATTGCTGCTGGTTTATTATGAAGTTTTGTAAACATACAAATTAGTTTGCAATTTTTTAAACAAACTTCCAAATTACACATAATGAAGAAATTATTTAAAATAAAAAAGAATAAGAAAGAAAATACTGCTGCAAACTACTAACAAGTTCTTCTCTAAATAAATATTCTCAAAACAATACCACATATAGCTAATAAAATATAATAAAAAATATAATAATATGGATTCCACTGCAGCATTCTTCTTCTTCTTTTATTCCGTCTATGAGCATTATCAATCCCAGCTTGAAGGCGTGCTCTTTTCTGAAGTCTAAAGTCTGTTTAAATGCCGAAAGGCTTTGCAGTGACTGTGTCCTTCATGTGATACCATAAGTGAGTTAGCAAGTTTGACGTGTTGGCAGAAACATAACCGATCACTACTGAGAAATGTCGGCCTGCTGCCTTCGTCTTATCGACTTGTACGTTGTTGTATTTCACTAGGAAACCGAAGTTTTCCCAAACAGAACAGGTTAACAATAAGGGAGGGTCCTAAAGCTCTGGCTTCTCTGCACTGGCCATGATGCTCAAGTCACTAGTTAGCGAGAGGCTGGGCCAAAGCGTGCTGCTTGTGTAGCGCTGTAAGGCAGAGATTTGGTCCACCACTAAATATGCCCGTGTAGAAACTCGGAATTTACGTATGTTCCACACACAAAACAAGCCTAATATATGACGTTAAAGACTGCATTCGGTGCACATGTGCACTGTTCCAAACATTCTGTACTGAAACGGTCTGGTACGAATACATGGACCATTACACCCCTACGGGTCACCAGTCCGTCAAGCTCCTGAAGTTTGGGTGAAGACATCATGACTATTTGTCTGCAGCAGAGATAAGGGCGGAAAAGGAGAAGTGGAAGGACCAAACATGAACATATCCTCACCGCCACCCAGTACATACACCAGCACACACAATTACACCTAATGACAACATAAAGAGAGAAAATAGAAAGGAGTCGGATATAGACTGGCGACACCAAAAAGACATCTGAAGAATTATTGGACTCTGAAGTTTCTGTTGTTCAATTGCATAATAGACTGAAGACTTTCTGAGACATTCTGAGGGCTTTGGACAAATCCTCAAGTTTCTACAGTATTCCACAGCTCCACAGAAGAGGGAGAGATCTGCTAACCGGACAACTCCTTCGCCTCCTCTCTCCAGCAAGAAGACCTCCAAATTACGCAAGCTCAGCTATTTTAATCAGGTTTGGAATAAAAATAGAATCACTACATTTAAAGTACAAGTTGTAGACATTGAATTTATTTCTTCACTAAGGTAGTAATTAGTAATGGTGGTTTTAACATATTTTAAAGGTCCTATAGGTTGCTCTAGTGAAATTAAACCATCCCTGGGGCAGGGCTCGACAATAATGGTGGCCCGATGGCCTGGGGCCAGTAAAAAGTAACGTCGGGAGGCCAGTGCAAAAACACTAGTATTAAAAAAACAAAAACAAAACAATCACATTAGAAATTCAACATCCTGCACTTGTTTTGCAGCTCATGGTGCGCACCGTTGTCCAATCCAGAGTTTTAGTTACTGTTATTTTTCTAATCTCAATCATGCGCCAACCTCTGTGTCTGAAAAGTGAAACCATGCAAATGGAACTTAGACCTGCATTCTCTCTAACAGCCAGCAGGGGACGAGCTAGGTGGTTCCGGTTCTATTAGAAATAAAGGTAAAATGTTGCTACTTCTCAGCTGAATTATTACCCTAGTAAACACTTTCATAATAAGTTTATGGTCTCAGCCGCTAGTTTCAAATGATCAATACAGCATGATGTTCATTTAGTAAATTATGGTCCTATTTAGGGGAAAACAGATGATAATGCAGCATATGCTTTTGGTCAAGACTACCTTGTGATTGACAGGTCGATACCATGGCGAAGACCGTTGAGTTAGAAGCTAGGCGAATCACTTCGACACCAGTCCCCAGATATACCGAATAGAGTAATACCCAGAAGAATGAGGATCAGAACCTTATAACAGAGAGCTGGACCAGTAACTCCTGGACAGGTATTTCAGAATCTAATAATATCTTTATATTTACATAGGTTTATTTTTTGTTGCACACCTAGTCGCCAAAACAAATTGCCAGTATGTGTAAAACATTATGGCAATTAATCCAATTTTGATAAGATTACAAAGAGTACAGTCTAGACAACCTCAACATGAAAAGGACTGTGATAACTTATGTGTTGGCGCTATACAAATATATATATTTTTTAAATGAAATTGAATAAAAGCCACATTTCTTGATAAATAACTTACACGTTTAATTGATTGTTAATGTTTATTTTAAGAAATAGCATAGAGATTTTATCTACACACACAGATTCAAAACCACAGAAAAGTCATCACAAAATTAAGAGTCACGCTAAAAACTTTACCAACCGTAATGCGTATAATGATATGTGTAACAAAAAAACAAAAAAACAACTTGGCAATAAATCTGAGTTCCTACTTGTATAAACTATTGGGTAGTTTAATTTCTAACAAAATATATTTTTAAAACTGTATGTTTTGTGTGAAAACCTTCATTTGTAAAGTAAGAAAAAGTGAATAGTAGCCTAAAATACCTCCCAACTGATGTCACTGACTAACATGTAACATTTGTATGTTGCAGCTAGTCAGCGTTGAGCTCAATCTAAGTTCTTTTTTTTTTTTTTATCTTAACCTGAAAAGTATCTACTGTGACTTCATACAGCTGACATATACATGTTTTTGGGTAAAAGGTGGTGAAGAATTAAAGTAGGCCTACTGCTCACTTAATGTTTTTTTCATTACAAAACTGATGGTTTGTTTCCCGTCAGTTAAACTGTATGTACATCAACCTGTGAGTTTTGAAGTGAATCCACACTAGAACTACTGACAAAAACCACATTTAGGACAATTGACCTTTCGCTAGGCACTGCCTCCCTTAGTTACTGTTACTAACACTGACAAACTGTCATTGCTGCCACGGTCTATTACTACTCTGGAGAAATTGACAAATTTGTTGGAAAAATCGATCTCTAAAAGAAGCAGACAGTTTTGCAGTTGCATTATGCATTCAGTAAAGAAAGAAATTCAGATAAATAAGTACCAGTATATTCAATGCTTGAAGTGGGCTAGTAGCCACATCCGGTAGAGATATATTTTACTCGTTGTGTAACAGAACATTCTTGCCTGCCTGCTAATCTCTGTCTGCCGAGACAAAGAAAAGAGAAGCTTGAGTGCCTGTTATGCAGCCATGTGCATAAAGTAGTTTGCCAGTGTCACTTTTTGTGATCCGACCCATCCAAAAAAGTCATAGGTGTCATTGACACTGGAGTCATGTCAGAATCAGAATGTCTCCACCACTTTTTGAAAGCATTTGTTAAAAATGTTCTGAACAGCTTGCAACAAGAAAATGTAAACTAACAAATGAAAATGCTTTGAGAAAGCTTTATTTGCACAATCCGAAAACATGCAATGCAATTTAAATATAGAAGAAACAAATGTGCAAAATTGCTTAAGGTAAAAAAAAATGACTGATAAGCTACTGATTACGATTCAGTTATATTTTTATATTTTGTTTTGTCACCTGCCATTTTGTGTTTCGCTTCATATAAATAAAGACATTTCCTACATTAAATGGTGCAGAAAATGTCTCCAGAATGCAGGTAAATAAGAGTTTAATGCTGAAAATCTTCTTCTGTATTTCATCATCAAAAATAATTTTGAATGACTTTTCATCTTGTTCTCATGAAGTGTATTGTGACACCCCAAATCTGTGCCCTTATGTCCCTACCACTTTTCAACACAAAGTGATGACCGTTGAGTAAACTTTTGAGTTGTTAAACTTGTTCTGCATGAATGGTTCTGATTATTATTAAGTTAGTACTTAGCATTAAGAAACCTGCGACTAACACAATAAGTCAACGAATGAAAACAACACACAAAAATGAAATAGCTGTTTTGTCCAAATGGAATTAATATTGTAGCCTACTAGTGGAAAATCGATAAAGTAGTCTGTCTATATTATTATTTGAAAGTTTAATGAATACTAAGCTAATACACACACCAACACGTCAATGGAGAGTACTGGCACCTATTTTGTTCCACTTCAAGCACTGAGTATGCTTATTATGTATATTAGTCTTCATAATCGGATTTAGCAGTGAGCAAATACTCATGAGTTTAGCCCACAATCACTATCATGCACCTTTGAGACTTCGCCTGTGAAGGGAGTTCAATCTACTATCAAGCAAACTCAAGGTTGACAAACTGACTGCCTACACTGGTGGTAAACGGTCACTTTTCAGTTCGGCTTCACTGTGGTCGCTTTCCTCATAAGTAGGAGTCAACATAAAGGTGTCAGTCTCCTGCTTCACTACAAGCTGCTCTCCCTCCTGACCGGTTCAGAGTTCCTCCTGTTCCTCTTTAACCTGTGGAGGCTGTGGGTCCTCCTGGTCCAGACCAGGGATCCTCTCCTGAATCCAGAGCTGCTGGTCAGCCAGGACCTCCTCCTCCTTACAGACATGTTGCTGTGGAAGCTCTGGAGGGACAGAGAACAAAACAGGCTAATGTTACTACCAGAGCTGCCAACTCTCACGCAATTGAAAGGTACCTTTTGAGCGAAATTCTAGAATTGACGCACTAAGATGAGAATGTGTAGTAGCAGACAACTTTTGACCGAGTGTTAGCTGTTAGAGGTTTTTTTACAGTTGCTTTCAGTTTTGGTAACCTCCTCGTCTCATCCTAACATACCGTCCCAAACAGGTTGTGTATCTGTCAGACGTTCTAAAGGGGGTACTACCATATCAGCAGAGCAATCACATAATGCACAACAACTAGGGCAGTAAAACATATTATGAATTCTCATTAAATGGAGAAGTTAGTCCCGTCATATTGCGACTTTTTTTTAATGCGCATGCTCAGAGTATTTCTCTATGCAAGTAGATCACACAAATTTAATTCAATTTCAATTCAATTTTATTTATATAGCGCCAAATCACAACAACAGTTATCTCACAGCACTTTTCATAAAAGAGCAGGTCGAGACCGTACTCGGTGATGTTATTTACAGAAGCCCAACAGTTCCCACCAAGAGCAGCACTAGGCGACAGAGGCAAGGAAAAACTTCCTTTTAAGAGGCAGAAACCTCGAACAGAACCATGGCTCAGGGTGGGCGGCCATCTGCCTCGACCGGTTGGGGTGTGTGTGTGTGTGTGTGTGTGTGTGTGTGTGTGTGTGTGTGTGTGAGTGAGTGAGTGAGAGAGAGAGAGATGTAAGGAGAGAGAGAGGGGAGGGAGGCAGCCTACACAATATACACACAGAGGTACAGACAGTGAATGGCAAGTGGGGCTAACTGCCCGTAGCCCCACTACAGCGTCATTTCATATTTCAGAGTTAATTGGCTATCTGTCTGTCTGGCACCAGCATTCCTTGGCAAGAAGAGCGAGGGAAGACTGTTTTAGAACAAAGAAGTTTGAAACCCCTAATTTGAAGGAGAAACTGGAATTAACAGCCACAGGATATTGTCATCACTCAAACTGCTGGTAAAAGCAACCGCGGATTTAACTTAGAGTTGTTTTCGAGGAAACATTGGCTAACGTTAACATACAAAAGAAGGCTGTTTTTCATGTCTGCTATTTGAAAACAGACGTGATAACTCGTGATTACTTTGTGGTAAATGTGCAACAGCACTGCGGGGCCGCAACGAGTCGACAGACTTTCTGAACCGAGGAGTATGCAAAAACTTCTACTCGTAATGACATTACCACGGGACAGCCACTAACGTTACTCAACGCATGCCGTCCATCGAAAGCCAACTTATTCAGCTGCTACCTGACTTCATCCCCAATGTTACAATAGTGATTGTTTAGCATGGGTGAATGTGCTACAGTGCGGCACTTTGGTAATCTTAAGGCCACAGCACTGACTGTTTTAGAGATTGCACGCAGAGGCTTGCATGTTATGCTGTAGTACCATTAACCCACTACGTATGTGTTCAAACTTGTTGCTTAATAAACCAACACCCGTTGGGTGATAAAAAGATATTCTGCAGTCTGTGAGTATAAAGACCAGAATATAACACCCAAAGTCATTGAGAAGTTTGCCCAGAGGAACCGTCGTGCTGTCTTTCTCCTCATGTGAGTCATTGCTGTGGTGAGTGAAAGCATATTTTATCATCCTGACTTTGTGGTGCTGGTCTGTGCATTGGCCATACTGTTGGACGGGATCGACTGATAATATAACATCAGATGGAGACGAGTGTCAGTGCATCCATGCTTATATGTTAAGCTTCTGCAGTCATGTGTTATAATAACAATAATGTTGTGTCATGGAGTTGGTCTGTATCCTTAAAAAGTTGCCTGCGCACTTCATTGTGGCCTTCAGTGGTGTTGATTTGTTCTGAGCTAGGTTGTGTTGGCATGCATTTGTAATTTAGGTTTATGACAGGCGCAATGTAACTTGTGTAATAGCTCTGTGTCTCTACCCCCGCTGTGTTGGCCTATGTTTAAGGCCTGGTTTAAGCAAGCCTCAAGTGTTTTGTGGAGCAATGCTGTTGAATTGTTAAAAAAAAAAAACTCATCAGTAGCAAGAAAGAGTGTTTCTTTTGAAATGGTTGGTTTCCCACCAATTTTGTAGATATAAAAATGCCACTGATCATTGGTTTCAGTAGTTCCATATGCATATTTAAAGAGATTACCTCCCCAAACCGAAGACACAAAAGAGGAGGGAAGACTAAATCATGAAAGAAAGAAATACAGAATGTTTGAAAGCCTTATAGACCTACTGCGTTATATTTTATAAATTTGCAATTGTCACCTGCCGCCTGAGTTTTCTGTTTCCCTTTACATGGCCTAAATAAGCATTGCCACAATAAATTGGTGCAGAAAATTTCACCAGAATGCAGGAATAAAGTGTTTAATGTTCAGAATTTTCAGGGGGAGGACCCCCAGACACCCCACTAGTTACAGATCTCCTCCATTGTTATAGGAAAACCTATGCTCTTGCAATTAACAACTAAAATACTACATTAATTTTCTACAATGCAAGAAAAACTCTAATTTTGACAGTTTCTGGGGGGAAGATTCTCAGATTACAGGTTAATTTTGGTCCTCAAATTTAGACTATGATGTCTGGAGGTTGGCAAGTAGGCCTATGCTGATCACACTAAACTGCCCCTGACTATTGACTTGGCAATTAAATATCTATACATACTTTAAAATAGGAATGTGGGTTCTTGACGATTAAAGAGTGATGCAGGAGGAAATTTCACAGAAGACCTATAACTCATAAAATGCACCGACCTCCAATACTGAATCTCACTCCAAACTAAACTGAAAAGTTGGCAGCCCTGTAGTAGTGTTTTTAAAAATACTTCTACAGCAGCAGCAGATAGTCGTTGACAAACTCTCTCAAACTCTCAACTGAATACATTGTTGCTTCATTACAAATGAAATAATTAGACAATAGTTACAATAACTCCTTCCAGCGGATTCAATACATACTGCTAACGCTCATGCTTGTATTGTTTACTTCCGCCGGATGTCACACAGTTGAAGTTCAGATAACAGAAGTGCAGGAGCTTTTAGTTCCGCTTCAACGTTTTTTGTATTGAAGATAAACAGGTACAAACAAACCAGGCATCTTATCATGTTTTATACTCACTCAGTACGCCACCCAGCTTCTAGTACAGGCCATGGTTATCTGTCGCCTCAACTACTGCAATGCCCTCCTAGCAGGTCTCCCAGCTTGTGCAGTGAAACCCTTACAAATGGTTCAGAACGCAGCAGCGTGTCTGGTTTTTGATCAGCCCAAAAAGACTCATGTCACTCCATTACTCATTGACCTCCACTGGCTCCCCGTGGCCTCCAGAATCAAATTCAAGTCACTGACGCTGCATACAGAGCGACTAGTGGGTCTGCATCCATCTACCTAAACTCCATAATACAAACTTAAGTTCCTTCTTGGCCGCTACGCTCCTCCAACGAACGCTGCCTGGCTCTGCCATCCCTTCACACAAAGCAATCCCAGTCCCTGTTCTCATCTGTGACACCACGATGGTGGAACGAGCTACCACACGCCATCAGAGCAGGGGCGTCCCTCTCTAACTTCAAGAAGCTCTTGAAAACTCATCTCTTCCGAGAACACTTCCTCTTATAAACATCTCTATGCACTTCCTGTGCTCTTCTTCTTCTATCCCCTACAATGATCTTGTATTGATTGCACTTTTTTGTTTTGATTGCACTTTTTAACTCTTACTTCATTCCCTAGGTATTTACCCCACTGATGTGATATGTACTATGAGCTCATACTAGTATTTATTGCTGCTCTTACTAGAATGTATTGTCAGTTGTAGATCTGTATTTGATGCTTTGTTGATGCTTGTATGTTGTTCCTCAAATGTAAGTTGCTTCAGATAAAAGCCTCTGCCAAATGAGTAAATGTAAATTTCACCACATCCCTTACACCAGAGGTCACTAATAGATGGACCGTGGTCCGGATCCGGACCCAGCCGTCGTCCTCCATTTATTATTGAGACTTACTACCTCGTGACGGAGCGTTTCTATTTTAACCCGCGCAGCTTTTCTAGCATTTACTGTACTGGTTTAGAGGACCAGGAAACTCACAGACCAATCGCATGTGCTCCAATCGTCTCATGTGACGCTGCTCAGCCAATCAAATCTGTGCATACCGATGCTTGCGAGTCGAGTCTGCGAGATTCACCAGAGACGTTTTGGAAACACACCCGAATTGAGGAGACGAAAGATAAGAGATTTCACATGACTTTTAATGAAGAATGTACAGATAGTTACATGTACATTCCTCCCATGGGCAGTTCAAAACCAGAATATCTCATAGATCTCCAATATGCTAGCTGGAGCTCACGTTTCTCACTGAACAACAGAAAGTAGGAAAGTGGTAGCTCTGTAAGAGGAAATGAAAGAGAAGAGGAGGTATTACAGCTGTTCATTTGTTATGATGTGTATGAGTGTTTATTATAAAATTGGTTAAGACTGCACTTCATCACTTCAAGCTACACTTTTTATTACATTTTTTCTAAAAATTAGGCACTTTAATTTAGTTTACTTAAATTTAGAATTTATTATTTGAATAGTTATTATTTATTATCCTTCCAGTTTGGTGAATCAAATATTATTTGATTTGACAGTCCATTGTTGACTAAAAATGTGTTGATACAACTATAGGTCATAGTACTGAATGATTACGCAAGTTCGTCGTTTTGATGTTCCGGACCTTTGCTTCAGGAAATTTTCTCTAACTAGACCTCTGTGAAATCTAATTGAATACCCCTGATCTAAAGTATGTGATGAACGTTACTACACCGGATGCTTTATTGAAGGTTGCCATCAAGATGACTGTCGAATGCTTACCATACCATATTACAATACGGGGACATTGAGAAATACACTATGCAACTGTCACTTGGCGAATGTTGTGCCTTCTCTAAAAACATGAGAATGTCCTATGAAATGTTGTAGTTCTAGCTTGCTAAAATATGTTAATCGAACAAAAACAGCTCACCGCATAGATATGTTTCACGAATGACAATTATTTACAGTATATTCTATCTTATGTATTCCACTTTTATATACTGAATAGTGATAATGTACGATATAAAGTACTATAGCATATTAAGTAGTTTATTAAGTAGAAAATGGTACAGTATAAAAGCACCATGGTAGTTTGAGTAGTCTTGTAGTCAGTATGTGATAAATGTAATCTCCTTATATCAGGAAAAGTTATATCATATTAATCAATATAAATGAAAAGTGTAACCTCCACATATTAATCCAGTGAAAACAGAAAGAAATCACAGAAATGTATAGGAAAGTTTAGAAGAAGGATCCATGTGCCAGGGTGTGCTATTATGCATTTAGATGCACATGTTGAACCGAGTTTTCACCGGACCTTACCCGAATTGTGATAACCTTGATTTGCATGATATGATTGATGGAGTGACAATGTTGAAGGTGTGACTTTCTAGTCACAAAGGGGGGAATGTTGAGTAAGAATGAATAATTTATCCAAGTTAATACATTTCATTTATCCAGAATGTATCATTTACTCAATGTATCATCTATCAGTATGTTATGCCTTATGTTTTTCAGACATTTGTAAAAGCATGTAACATCAATAGGTAGATCTGAGTGTTAAACTGAACTCTGAGGTGCTGCTATACCCTCTGCATAAGACCAAAGTCTCAGAAGTGTTCTGTGGAATTTGTGGAATGTGTGTAATAGGGATGGGTCAAAAAGGGAATGCAACTAAAAGCACATGCACTTGAGATATATTGTAGGACTTTACTACTCAGTGGGAAAGGAGAACCCAGATGTATGGGGACATAGATCTCCATACCTCTGACAGAACTTATGGTTATAGAGACATAGATCATTTTTTTAAAAACAGGGCCTATAAATTTGGAAGCTACTGATATATGACCAGAGACACTCTTAAGTTTTACTGGTGTCTTTTAACACATAAATGTTTTTAAAAATATATGACTACGAAATAGTACCCTCAGATAACGTGTTTATACAGTTAACTGACAATAAAGATGAATTATTGTTTTTAAGGAGAATAGGAGAATTAGGATTTAAGGGAGTATAATATTACAGGAACGGGGTTTTAAGACGGTCCAAAAAGGAAACATCAGAGAAGATATTTACACCAGTAGAACTAATTAATGGCTACATTAAATAAAAAAATAGGCAGGTATCTCGCAGAGGCCCCACCTCTCTAGGAAGAGCCATGGGGTCTATAATGAAAAGCTCCACACCATGTTTTCAGTGTGCCTTACTGCTAAGGCTTGCTCGGGTTTTGTCTTGCTTTGACTGAAATCTGAAATCGCACCAAAAGAGGCGGGACTCCACGGAACACGACTTGATGCTGATTGGACAGCGATATTCAGAGACAAACTGACAAAAACAGTCACAGCTAACTAACAGTGTGGTAGAAAGTGTGAGAAAAATCTCCTGCCTTTCCCAGCTTGGCAGTGCGTCGCCCAGTCGCCTTAATGAACAAGCCTCAGAACTGTAGACCGTCAGCCTCCCGCCTGCTTTTAACCTGGTGGTATGATCTCTGTCATCATACGCGACTGATCGCATGCACATCAACATAGCGTTCAGTCAGTGTGTGAGTGTGCGTGGCCGAGCTGTGTGGAGAAAACATGCACAAGAGAGTAAGAGCAAAAGCACGAGGAAAGTGCCTATAAATGTGGGAAAATTACAGATTGCTGATGATTACAGGACATGGTGTTACTAGCAGAGCTGCCCTTAGCCTATGTCACATCATATCATCATATCACAACTACCTTTCCAGAGTTAATTCTATTTAGGGCCCGAGCACGAACCGTGTGAGGCATCCGAAACCAATGCACAGTACCATTTGTTTATATTGTTACCGCTGAAAGCGTCGATAAAATGAGTTTCGTTCTTACAGGATGTAAAATAGGCAAAATGGAGCTCAATGCTGTCTAGCTGGTCAATACAAATGTTACATGTTAGGACATCAGTAAATAAAATTTTAATTATGTGGCACTAATAAGAGGCCTTTCTGCATGCTTAATTTAATGTTTCTTTTTAAAAAATGTATTTTTTGCTGATAGTACTTTCCAAGGGTGTCTCTGTGTTAAAAAGTGGTGGGAACATAAGGGCTCAGGGAAAACACGCTTAGCTCAGAATACTGAGTTCTTGAAAATGTGATAAGATATTTTAACACTATTTGGAATAAATATTCAAGATGAAATATAGCTTGGGGTTCTCCCCCCAGAAAGTTTTGAGCATTTTGTTAATTTCCTGCATTCTGGTGATATTTTCTGCACCAATTTATGGTTATTTATATAAAGGGATACACAAAATCCAGGTGGCAGGTGACAATTCAAAATATAAAATGAAATATAATGCAGTAATATATTTTTTGGACAAAGCACTTTGTTTCTTCTATATTTATATTGCATTGCATGTTTTTTTATTGTGCAAATAAATATTTCTCCAATCATTTTCATTTGCAATTTAACATTTCTTGTTCTTGTTCACTGCAAAATATTTTTAACAAGGACTTTGAATTTGCCATGTCAAGTACTGATGGGGACATGTCCCCAGTGTCCCGAGAGTAAATTAAATGACTATGGTACTTTCTTAGTTTAACTGACAACTTGGATGCTCTGTGAATTATTCTGTGGTATTTCTACTTAAACAATCTAGATACTTCTTTTACCATTGCTTATTTGTTTTTGTGCAAAATTATTATCTGCAAAGTAACAAAAAAAGAAGTCTGTGAGTCAAATGCAGTAGTTCAGAAAAGGGGAATTTCCTTGTGTAATGTACTTATGTACAAGTAGGCTATTTGAACTTTACTTGAGTATTTTCTTTCATGCCACTTTCTACTTCTACTCTGCTACACCTCAGATAGAAATATTGTACATTTTACTTCACTACATTTATCCCAGGAGGCACCGGACGTCAGTCCAACGTCAAACTCACATTGGACTCCAACGTTGGACAGACATTTGATTTTAGTTGGAAATGAAAATCGGGTTGACGTCAAAACCCAACGTTGGATTGACATCAACCTACAACGTTTGACCGACGTTGGATTGTTGTTGGAAATAAAGTCATGTTGACATCAACCTACAACGTCGAACAGATTTGAGTTCGGAATTAAAATCTTTTTGACGTCAAAATCCAATGTTGGATCGACATCGACCTCTAACGTTGGACAGATGTTCGATTTTAGTTGAGAATAAAAATCGTGTTGATGTCAAAACCTAATGTTGGATTGACAATGTCTGTCCTACGTTTGTCAACCACAAACGTAGGACAGACATTGGACAAAAAAAAATTTAGTTAGTTTGGATTTTGTTGGCATGACAAACTTTTACAGAGCTTTGTTTTTATTGTAAATTGTAAATTCAATATACACAATCTTAGATAGGCCAACAGCCAACACCAAAATTGTTATGTGGTTGATAATCAAGCACAGCCCCAACGCCAATCCAAACCTAAAAAATACTTCAAATACTCTCAAAAAATGTCAATGCTAACATGCTGGTGTTTAGCAGGTATAATGTTTGAAAAATGAATGGAAACTACATTTTTAACAAAACTCAACGAACTGTCTCAGACCCCACTTATGAACTAAAAAGATTTAAATTTTAGAAAGTTTCTTTTTTCTTCCACCTCCGCCCCCCCGTCTGGGGCATATTTCAAACAGAAGGCGACAGCCGCTGCAATGCTTGCCTCCGTTTCTGCAGTCGTCCTCTGAATACTCTCTGTAAAGAATATTTGAAACTGTAAATCTTTAGGGCATATAGAAGATAATGGAATACAGTAAGCAGTAAAAACATTAAGATGCAGACATTTTCAAGGGCCTTTACTTTAGATGGTGTTCTTAAACTGCAAGCAGCTGGCAACATACTGGCAGAAAAAACTGAATGCCGGCATATTTCTTTGTTTTAAAGACATCTATTCAGCATGTTTACAGTAGAAAACAATTTAGTGCTGTGAAAATCTGACATTTCTTGCAGGTAGCGACCAGGTTGTTAATAGGTGGCAACTGTGGTTACTGGTTTTCACTAAACCCCCAAAATAGACACTAGAAGACGTCTCGGGTTACGTATGTAACCCTGGTTCCCCGAGAAGGGGAACGAGACACTGCGTCGGTTACGACACTATGGGAACGCCTCTAGGCGAAGCAGGTCTGAACGTGAATGAAATCACTCCAATCCTATTGGCTTGTTGCTAGAACGGTAAGGTGTGACGGAATAACCGGAGGAGTATAAAGCACACCTGTACACACTCATCATTAGCTTAAACTATGAAGCAGGCGCTTCAGGCGGGGAGAGACGTGCGGCGGGCCGACGCAGTGTCTCGTTCCCCTTCTCGGGGAACCAGGGTTACATACGTAACCCGAGACGTTCCCCTTCGAGGGAACTCGAACTGCGTCGGTTACGACACTATGGGAACGAGATACCCACTAAACCGTGCCGAAAACCCCGCCTGCCCCTGTGTGCAATAAAGTGGCACGACTAAGAGGAGAGCGCACGAGTGCCAGGTGCCGAAGGAAGGTCACGACTGTAAAACCGAATGAATGTGTGCGGAGTGGCCCAGCCAGCCGCTAAACAAACATCCTGCAAAGAGGCCCCGGAAAGGAGGGCTCGAGAGGCCGCCATGCCTCTGGTAGAATGAGCCCTCACAGCCACAGGTGAAGGCAAACCGCGCACCTGACAGGCCAGGGAAATAGTCTGAACAATCCAGTTGCTAATAGTATGTTTGGATGCAGGGAGCCCGGCCCTGGGAGACCCAAAACACACTAGCAGCTGGTCAGCCTTCCTCCAACGGGAGGACCTCAGAGCGTAAATACTCAGTGCTCTGACAGGGCAGAGCAGATGAAGTCTCCCGTCCTCCGCCGTCACATGAGGTGGAGGATGAAATGCCTGCAGCACTGTGGACCCTGCCGCACAAGAAGGCACTTTAGGGATGTATCCTGAACGAGGGTGCAGGATAGCCCTAATATTCCCCGGGGCAAACTCCAGGCTTTGCGGGGAAACCGAAAGCGCTTGGAGATCCCCCACCCTCCTCAGAGAGGTGATAGCAAGGAGAAAGGCCATCTTGAAGGTCAAGTGCTTAGCCTCAGCTGACTCCAGGGGTTTGAAGGGGGCCTCAGCCAACGCCCCAAGAACCACTGCCAGATCCCAAGTGGGAACCTTGGACCGAGTCGCAGGTCTCATCAACCAAGGGAAGTTTCCCCAAGGACCCCTCCCTCAGAGGGGTGTGGAAAATAGCTGCCACGTTCACCTTGAGGGTGGAAGGGGAAAGACCAGCAGAGAACCAGTCCTGGAGGAACTCAAGTACTTGAACCACCGGGCAGGTAACAGGGTCCACCGACCGCTCCCTACACCAAGTGGAGAAAACACTCCACTTCAGGCCGTACATCCTCCGTGTGGACGGGGCCCTGGAGCTCAGGAGGGTCTCGACTGCTCCGGCTGTTAGACCCACCTCTAGGTACTGTGCCCCCTCAGGGGCCAGACCCACAGTTGCCATATGGCGGGGCAAGGGTGAAGAACCCGGCCCTGCGCCTGGGACAACAGGTCTCTCCTCAGAGGGACCCGCCACGGCGAGCCATCCAGGAGCGACATGATGTACGAGAACCACACCCGGGTTGGCCAGAACGGGGCTACGAGCAGTAGGCCGACATTGTCCTGGCGGACCCGCTCCAGAACCCCGGTAGCAGAGCGACTGGGGGAAAAGTGTACAGACGGAGCCTCGGCCACGAATGTACCATGGCGTCCAGACCCAACGGGGCTGGAGGAACGGGAGAAACCATAGCGGGCAGTGCGTAGTCTCTTGAGACGCAAACAGATCCACGTCTATGGGGCCGAACTCTTCGCACAAGAGCTCCACCACTTCGGGGTGAAGTCTCCATTCCCCGGGCCTCAGCCCCTGCCTCGACAGCAGGTCTGCTCCCTGATTCTGCGTCCCCGGGAGATACATCGCCCTGAGCGATAGTAACCTCTGCTGGGACCACAGGAGGATCTGACGCGCCAGTCTGTCCAGAGGGCGCGAGCACAGACCGCCCTGGTGATTCAGATAGGCCACCACCGCTGTGTTGTTCTCTTCGGAACGAACCAGGACGTGGTGGCCTTGGAGATCGGGCAGGAAACTCCTTAGAGCCTGGAACACCGCCAACATCTCGAGACAGTTGATATGCCACTCGGATTGATGCACCTGCCAGGATCCCCTTGCAAAGCGGCCGTCCATGACCGCGCCCCAGCCCGTGAGGGAGGCGTCTGTCGAAATAACCAGCCGGCGACAAGACCCTCCCAGCACGGGCCCCTGGGACAGGAACCAAGTTTCCTTCCAAACTGATAGGGAACGAAGACACTTGCGCGTAACCCAAATCAGACGGAGAGGATTTCCCCTCGGGGAAAAACCCTTGTTCCTTAGCCACCACTGCAGGGGTCTCATGTGCAGCAGTCCAGATGGTATTACGCTGGACGCAGCCGCCAGGAGTCCCAACACTCGTTGAAAGTGTTTCATAGTGATGGCGTGGCCTAACTTCACCCCTTTCACGGCAGCCAATATGGTGTCGACACGTGCCGGAGACAATTGTGCCCGCATCGTTGTCGAATCCCATACAACCCCTAGGAACGTAGTCCGTTGGGTGGGCGCCAGCACGCTCTTCTTTGCGTTGCGCCTCAGCCCTAAACGCCGCAGATGAGCCAGAACGACATCTCGATTCCGAACGCCAACTCTCGAGACTGGGCTAGGATGAGCCAGTCGTCGATGAAGTTGAAATCCGGATGCCCTGGAGCCTCAGCGGGGCCAGTGCTGCATCCATACACTTGGTGAATGTGCGAGGGGAAGTGCCAGGCCGAATGGAAGAACCCGATACTGGTAAGCCACACCCCCGAAGGCAAACCTCAGGAACTTCCTGTGAGAAGGACGGATGGAGACTTGGAAATAGGCGTCCTTTAGATCTATCGTGACGAACCAATCCTCAGATTGGATGTGCGTCATGCACAAAGATTCCCCTACCCCGGTCTTCCCTGAGCTCCGTCGGGACTGGATGACGGTCCTCAGATCGCGTCTCTCAGACGGCCGAGGGTGAGAGCGCCGTCTCGCTGCCCCAGCTCCTCGGGGGGGCCCCCGAGAAGCGACACTCTGCTTCCTCTCCTCTCCGTAGGAGCTCGTAGAGGGAAGGGACCTACGCCTGGCAGCCTCAGCTGCCTTGGGTCCAGACCGGCGAGGGAGGTACTGGCGGAACGCTTCGCCCTGCGTCTAACGCTTTGTGGTTCTGTGAAGCTCCGCCAGATCTTCCTCAGAGGGACCCCCCCTCTGAACCATCTCCTGTAGCAGGTCGGCTTGGTAGGCTTGAAGCACCGCCATGGTGTGCAAGCTCGCACCTGCCTAGCCCGCTGCCATGTACGCCTTCCCCACGAGCGTGGATGTGGTGCGACATGGTTTGGATGGTAACGCCGGCTTCTCCAGGGAGGACGCAAGTCGAGGGGAGAGATAGCTCGCAAGCGCATCCTCCACCCGAGGCATCCTCCCATAACCACGGTCCCTAACCCCCATCACATTACTGTAGTTCAGTGATCGGGGTGTGGAAAGCCGTGTAGAGAAGGGTCTGCCCCATGATTACTCAGTTCATCATGTAAATCAGGAAAGAATGGCAGAGACCGGCGTGGAGGTGGCGTGTGGTGCTTAAGAAACCTTTCATCAAGCTTACCACTAGCCTGTGGTGTCTGCTCCTCCTGTGGCCAGTTGATGTTGAGCTTAGCCACGGCTCTAGTCACCACCTCCAGCAGCACGTCATAGTCAGGCGCCGCCAGATGACGCCGCCCCGACACCCAGAAGTCATCGTCCACTGCGCTGAGCACGTCCGCCTCCTCGGAGTCGGATTGCTGCAGCGTCTCCGGATCCAAACCGCGAGCGGGAGAAGCCGAGAACGGGCTCCCGAACGAGGAAAGGAAGCGTCGGAGCCAGCGGATGAAGGTCGGGAAAAAGCCTCAGCCGTCCCGAAATCCTCTGACAGATCACGCTGTGAACCCCATGAGTGAAGCCGCCTCAGCGGCCGCAGGGCCCACACGGCAGGGAAAACACATCCGGCCATCCTAGGAAAAGAGAGCCATGCTGTACCTCAGTACCCGCACGGAAAGGGCTTCGCAACGGGCGCAGGCAGCCCCCTCGAGAGCTGCCCGGGCGTGCTCCATCCCCAAACATGAGACACATATCTCATGAGAATCTCCATCCGTGATGTACCGAGGGCAAGAAAAAAACACACCTTCTGTACATCTGGTTGCCGGACATGCTGGTAGACTTCTTCTTCAGGTAAGACACACTGCTAGTAGGACTGGAGCTTTCTTCAAACAACATACAGAGCGCCTGCTGAATAGAAAAAAGCTAATGATGAGTGTGTACAGGTGTGCTTTATACTCCTCCGGTTATTCCGTCACACCTTACCGTTCTAGCAACAAGCCAATAGGATTGGAGTGATTTCATTCACGTTCAGACCTGCTTCGTCTAGAGGCGTTCCCATAGTGTCGTAACCGACGCAGTTCGAGTTCCCTCGAAGGGGAACACTGAGGATATATGCTTTTTACCTGTAACAACAGTGAAGAGCCGGAGCTTCGTGAAGGCAAGCTTGCCCTTCCCGCCCTTCATATTGAAGTTTGCCATAACCTCATTTGTCATCAACCTATGGATACAAAAGAATTTTTTTTTAAATTTACTAATAATTCACTGGTTGAGCTTTGAAAATTCTTTGTCAAAAACAAACATGTTATATAACATGTAACATATATAAATTGCACAAAATACCTCTTACCTCTAAAGCCTGTAGTCTAGGACACAAAACAAGATTGGATAATCACCTTATAGTAGTTTATTTCACCTTATAGTAGTGTGTGTATTATAAATAATTCTTACAGCCTTCTACTGCATTTTAGGAGTCGGTGACCACTCTTTAACAGCAAGCATAATGGTGTATTCACAATGAAAGCGAATCCAGTGTTTCGCGCCTCTTTATTACACACAAAGTCAATGCATGTGTGGAAAATGCATTTGTTGCAACATTCGCTGGGTCGCCCGAATTTCTTATGACACTATGTTGCCAAAGCCTATCAGCAGTGAAATTGTCCGGATATCGCATACAGCTTCAGAGCGTTGTTTGGCGAGGACCAGACAGAACAGAGCCGATGGAGAGCTGACTTGTTTCACTGTATACACTGATTACACAGTTAGAAAAGGAGTTGGCAGCAGTGACTGATTTGCATTATGCAAAACATTTTTTAAAAATTCTGAATGCATGGGTCTTGGAATGGTCCATCAAAATATCTACCACTATCAATTTTTGTAAATCTTAATCACACAAATTAGGATATGCTAACAGTGGCTGTGTTGAGCCCCCAAAGATTGGAGTACTTTCTTTCTGTGGATAATGTAAACTGTTTATATAACCATATGTGTTAGATCTTTCCCTGCTCCAAAACAGCTGGTTCAAACTGTTAACTCCTTATGAATCCTGAAGCTTCTTCAATCAGCTGTGAGAGATTAAATCATGCAGGACAGCGGGTAACTTTCTCCAGGAGAGGGATGGAAACCCTGTCGTAGTAACGCTACATAAACTTCAATTCAACTAAGATGAATTCATACAGACAGCAAAGTCTTTGCACGCTGTTTAGGTGTGAAAAAGCTACACCGAACGGTCTAAACGATTTAGATTTTTATCTTCTTTTGGACATATACCTAACCTGAGCATCATAGTCAATAAATTAAGACAAATGCAGACCTATGTCCTTGCTAAATGCTTCACAAAAAAACATTTAATAAAGTCAAACACACAGTTGCTTCATACAGTCTATGAGTAGCTCACGTTATCCAAAGGACAAAAAAGCCAACGTTGGTGTAGCCTAACTGTTGGTGTAACATTCTGTAATTTGTGTGATTTAGATGTACAATATTGACAGCGGTAGCTATATTGATGGCGAACACATACCAAGAGCAATGCATTCAGACTTCACTCAATGTTTTGGATAATGCTAACCAGTCACCTACCGTTCTCACGATGTGTAGAGTAGCAAAACAACTGAGAATGCATCACGTTACGTTACTGTGGTTGTGTAAAACATACCAGCAGTGGATAAGAGACTGCAGGCAAAATAGCTGAAAATATAGCTTTCTACACATCAGTTTGATAAAATACTCTTACTGGCCTTTTACTTGTTTTTTATTGCACACCATACAGTAATGTGTAGTTTTTTTCAATTCAAATAAAATATTTACTTCACCTGGGACCTGTATTACACAGGATTTGGGGTTAGCAAGATTAACTTAAGGGTTAACCCTGGGTTTTCAGTCCTACGAAGGAGGTTCATTTCTTACAGGGGTATGTCATCATGGTAACTTGTGCTACACGGCTTGAGCCAATCCCAGCTGACGTGACAACCATTCACATTCACAACTAGGGTCAATTTTAGAGTCAGCAATTAACCTAGCCTGCATGTCTTTGGACAGTGTTTTGGATAAAAGTGTTCTATAAATGCAAGCCATTTACCACACAGTCTGTGTTTTTTTGCCAACTGTCCTTCCTGTATTTAGCAGCTGCAACTGTGTTGCCTGGATTATGTGTTTAAATTCTTCATATTTCTGTGATATTATAGTTTGCTCTTCATTAGTAAAATAAGCCGCTCTGCTGCCAGCAGACTTGTTTGAGATTGGTCAAATAAGCAAACACCTCATCTTTAATGTGCATGTGCTCATTGCTACATTAGACAAACCTGGCTTGACTACAGAGTTGACCACCACCTTTGTGTGACCACTTATCATGATTACTGGTGTAAGGGTTAGTGAAGCCAGATAACAGAAAGCCTTTGGTTCTGTTCTGCTGTTACTTTTATATATGTATTTATACTATGTATTTTTTAATATAATATATACTTACTTTCTTCTGGCATTGGGTATGGGCAGCGTTTTCCCTGTGTTGATGGAGTCTGTTGTCTGGAGCTGGTCCCTTGAGTAGATTGCCTAACAGGGGATATTGATCTTCTACATTGTTCTTCTTGGTGCGACAGGCTTCTATGAGATGGTGGTCTGGTCTGCGTTTCTGATGTGGGCTCCTGAATTTGCTGGGGCAATACGAGAAAAGTAAGAGTCAGAGTAAAGGTCACGACAAATGCTCAATCTAAATTTAGGACAGATTCTAGGACAAATCTCTCCAATACAAATTATCATTGCAGTTAAGTACAAGTTTAATAAATCCTTAAGTGTGACCCATCAGCCCCTGTGACAAGAACAAGTGGCAGTGTTCTTCTACTAAATTAAGTGAATATAAACCTGCCAACAACAAAGACTTAAAGAAATAACCCAAAGCTGAAAAAATGTTTTGAAGGTTGTGCAAGACCACACATTACTTTAGGATTCATTGTTCAGCTCTTGTGTTGTTTGCTAGTCCAGATCCACTTAATTTATTTTGGAGGAACACACCCAATGGGAAGCTCTCATAAAAGAGAAGGAGCTGATGGCTCAGACTTGGTGGATCTATTACATTTGTATAGATATATGGGTATGAACCCAAACTATCACTTTAAGGTCAAATATTTATAAAAGTGAATTTAAGACTAAATAAGGACCTGAAAAACCCTTTTTTGCTCTTGAGATCTGCTTTCCCCGAATGAGCGGAATGACTGTAGAGCCAGAGCTTGATCGCCTGGATGACGTAGATGATGATGGCGAGCTTGCATATTCGGACCTTACTGGAGACTCTCGCTCTTGAACATGTTCCAGCTTCCTCGGAGCAGCAGGAAGTTCTAGCTCTGTTAATAAATGTCTTATTCCTTAGTCAATGTAATTTAATCCTCTTTTAAAGCAAAGACAATACATGACTTAGACACACACAGCACAAGCATGCATGAACACACTGTGTGTGTGTGTGTGTGTGTGTACATATATCATAATGTTGTGTTAAAGTTCATATTACTGCAGTGTTTCCCCTATATCCATTCAGGATATAGGGTCTGTGCGCCGCTGCTGAATCATGACCGGTGCTACAAAAATTTCCTACGATCATTGCATTATGTGCTACAAATGTTTTCACTGGGGGCTCACGAGAATGCTGCTACAGACACAAAACTACAAATAGAATAACTTGAAAATAACTAGACAGACTATAGTTGTGAATGGAATCACTTTGGGTGTAAATATTTTGCACTGTTTAATCCAGTAGGTGGCGGTGATGCCAACCGCTATGAAACAACAAAAGATAGCCTCAAGCGCTTTTGCTTTGTCAGAAACTTCTATGTGACAGGTGATGTTATAAGAGCAGCGTAACTCCTGTAGGGAACCGGGAAGTGTGTAACGAGTGTTTTATTGTCCAAGCGTCAAAAAGTGACTGTGAACGCAAGCGGAAGAAAATATTGGACACAAGAGCAATGCTGCTCAGCATGTTCTGTTGGGGTTTTATATTCAGACAAAACTTTTGCTTCACCTCCGCTGCTGCAACTCCATCCTGAGGGAAACACTGATAGGTTAACATTATAGTGTGTCAATTAAAGGGATACTTTGCGATTCTTATACTATACACTTTGTTAAATTTGCTGAATATTCAGTTTTTCGTGTGCTCTAAAAAAAAAATCTGGTTTTCCTACACAGCCCCTGGGTCCGTAAATTGAGCACAAACAAAGCTTGGTAATTAGCCAAATGTTAAAAACAAGCTAAATAGAAAGTCTGTAGCAAGGACTTAGTGACTTTGCTGTTGTGAACATTAATATTGCTGGTCTAGAAACATTTAGCTTTATTTAAAACATTAAAGTCTAATCCTATAAATATTTTAATTGAATATTTTCCTCATACCGTGCAGGCCTACCTTATGCCCGTTGGGGCTGGTTTTTCCAAATAACCGTCACCAAATAATAGTTAAGTATGGATAGTGGTATCCTACCCTACCGATAAATAAACTACACTCTGTGTCTTAGATTTATGCTTAGAAAAGTATTTTGCTTCAATACATATTTAAATATTGTCAGGCTTGTTGTCACACCTTCTACAGTGCTGCTAAAACATGCCCTCTTATTGAGGCTAACATGCTTTCAGACAGCAGACGCTGTGGATTCTGCTATATTTCAGCAAAGTACATGGTTACCATGGCAATGGCGTTCATGAGTTTCAGGGAGAGGAGCTTCTGAAGGAGCACTGAGGGGAGGGGAATGTTTGTTTGGCAGTTGGACTCAAATATCAACAAACTCTCTGCAGAATCGCATAGTATCGCTTTAAGAAATGCTGCATTTTTTCAAGACCAAGAAACCTTTTTTTGGTTTTCCATTGTGGAAAAGTTGTACCATTGCCGGCTTCCAAATCCTTTTTTTTGTATCACCTCCGTCGAGGTTCCAAGCGATCTGAGGCGATACTAAAATGTGACATGAAAACACAGTGGACTACTGATTGGTCAGAGAGAATTGTCACTATTCAATGCATCATCATTGCGTGTGCCAGACAGAGGCCAGCAACAGAAAGTTTTATATTTTACAATTTTCATACGTTATTTCTAACTAAATACACTTCTGAGAAGTTCTGAGGTAAGAAATCAGCTGTGTAGATTTCGAATATTGACAGTTTTACGAAAAGTGACAGCGGACCAAAAATGTACTTGAAAGTTTTCCGATTTGAGACGCTCCGCTAGTTGCGGCGGTGGAAGCCTGCACACAGAGCCCTCTGTAGACTCCAGCAACAGCAACAGAGGTTGATTTTCATAGAGCTCATCTGTCTTTACATTCTGAGTAATGTTGAAACGTTTGAACTTAAATCACGAGACAGCTAGTGTGAGTGGGTCCAGGGTGTGTGTCACGCATATAGGTATATCTACTGAATAATATACTCGGGGAAACACTGTACTGTTATTGTGTGCTTCCAAAAAATTTGGACAAATTGTATTTTGATGCTTTGGCAACATTGTTCTTGAACCTTTCGTGCCAATAAAGCAATCTGAATTGACATTCTGTAGGTAATTTGTAACTTTTTTTGTTGCTGTTTTTATATCCTCATAACAAGTAGTCTCCCCATTACAGGGGAGAAAACAAAGAACTAACCTAACATCACTGTTGAGATGTCGACAATTTCCTTGGATGTCTTCTTCATCAAATTCTACCTCACTGTGACCACTATCATCTAGTTCAAGAAAAAAAATTCAAAAAATTCATTCTGCTCCAGAAAGAAATCAAAAAGGTGCTGTTTTCACTGATTGTGCTCAGCTGGTTCAGTGCATGAAAGGAAGGCAGTTGTGATAGAAGAGACGTAGGTGTGTACAATTATGCATGCATCCTTTTTATTGCTACTTTCCCATCCTCTTCTACCGTCACTCTTCCACCAGAAAGTATGTTGGAGGAAGCAGGGAAAGGAAAAGTAGAAAAGTGAATTAGAGGGGGAAAAAAGAAAAGATAACAGATGTCTTTAACAGTCGTTAAATATTTATCTTATAAATTTAATAATTTATAAGTCTACACTACTACAGATGAAGTGGCCTATGAAGTTGCCGGTCTAAGCATATTTGCATAATCAAAGTCAGTTACAGAACTCTGCAACAGCATGGTAATTCAATGACCAAACTTAACAAGTTTAATAGTACAGGAGTGTGAATGCTTATGAAATTTAATATCAATCTACCCAGTTCACTTCAAGATATCAAACTGGCATTAGTTCCTTATTGTGGCCTTGTTGTTATGGTGACATTGCTTACTCTTGATAGTATAGTCCAAACAAATTCATGCTAAATGGATATGTTAATTTTGAACGTCTTGCACTGTCAACAGGGCGACAAGGAAAGAGTTCATGAAAATCCATTAACAGTGGTCTATTGCGATACATCTGCAAGACATGCATGAATACCTATTTTAAAAGAGGTATGAATTGGTTGATTAATACCTGAGTATAAAAGTGAATGATTGACATAGTACAAAGTTAAAAGATTACCTGTCACACAATCTTCAAATGTCTTATTTTTCCTTCTTCTTTTTGCTTCCAGTGCCCCTTCTTCAGCTTCTGTACTACTTGTGAAGTCGCAGTTGTCACATTCTTTAAAGTCATCTACAAATCATAAATAACAATTAACACAGGCAAAGCAAAAAGCTACTGCCATATGACAAAAAGCACATAATAGATGTGACATGTAAGTGTACCCACCAGATCTCATCTTCTCTTTCAGAAGAGGAAACTTTCTCCAACCCTCAGATGGTTTGCAGCGTTCCTTCAAATGTCATGTTGCATTTGCAATATTTGGCCAGAACAGTAACATTTTTTTCTGTCTACCCAGCTGTCTGGCACCGTCCCTTCTTCTTGCCTTTTCCTTTCTTGCCACACTGCCCTAACCCAAGCCATCCTGAAACAAAGCATATTAAAATAAATTTAAACATTAACTTAAAAACATAAATTACTCCAAACAATATAGAGACAATTCCAAATTAACTACAAGTTTCATCATACATCAACTACTCAGTGGTGGATGCTTTAAATGCATCAAATTCATAAAATTACTATTACTGAGGGAAAAAAATATTTCCATTACAGCTTCCCATGAACAGGCTCATCTGTGGCACATTGTAATATCCAGGCACATGCCATAAATAAGTAACAGTAACTGTATATTTAAAATATAGATATATAATTATATATAATATATAATATAAAAGAGTGTTAAACTGATTACAATGATCTTGATTTTAAAGTATGGACGGCGTAGATATTAGTAGATGCAGTTTCCTTACAAAAAGTTACAGCGGGTCTGGATCCAGCTTTTAAAAAGTAACTTAACACGGATGACCAAGAAATCAACTCCTTGGTCAGTTATCACATCATCAGACTATCGCAAAATAAATGTTTGCTTTACGAGGGAAAATATATAACTAGTCGTCTTGTTTAGACATTCAGTGGAATGAATAAGAAGTTCGATAACGTTACAGAAGAATAAAAGCCTTTATTTTGACAAATAAGCCAAGTGCTAGTTTGCTCTGCAAAAAACTCGTTCATAAAACAACAATACTAAAACGTTCGATTAAACAATCCACATGTTATATTTTTCCATTTACTTTGGTGAAGTCGAAGGTCCGCTTCACCGCTGAATGCACACGCGGTCACGCAACCGGGGGAACACTTTCTGATACCGAGTAACGTCACTGAGCTTTTGCTCCAGAGTCGAAAAACTCGCGATTTTATTCACGTCACTACTTTTTACTAGGTATATTCCCCTGATTTAATCTCTGTAGACTAACTCTTACATCATTGTCACATTAGTATTGCAATGCAGTCAAACTTAAAGTAACGTAATTTTAAGCTAGGTGGGAAAAGGCGCCAGTTCACAAAATCAATTCTGACAAGAAATTTGACAATACAAACTCTGTGCCACTGAAAAAAAAATAAAACTTACAAAGCATACTAACTAACTAACGTTCTTATAGCCAAAATTGATATACATTTTCCTAACCTCTGCTCACGGTCACCGTCCACCAAACTTGTAACCTTCGACGTACAGATGAAAGGTGTCCGACAGGCAACTTACTCCTGTATCTTTCCGCTGAGGAGTGGCCTTACAGTGATTGGCTAGAAATGTGTTTCAAATTTGTTTGAAGATAGACCTGCAACTATGTATGTAAAAAACACGAGCAAGTCAAGTTATTTCAAAATCTACAACTTTATGAAAATGTACAAATAATTTGTGCAAGTACATTTTCTGTTATTATTGTTATTAAATTCATTCATCGTATTATTATCATTATTATTGTTGTGGTTGTTTATTATTATTATGTTAGAGTTAGTGTCTAAAATCCAGAGGCAGGAATGCTATTGGTCCGTGATAATTTTATCCTGAAGGTAAGAGTAAAAGAAAATTATTGGTGATTAAGAGATGTTCTGGATGGTGTATAATATGTATGATAAACATGGGCCAATGCCACTCAACCCCTTATGGCCAGAAACACTACACAGTAGATATTTTAATTGACCTTTATTATATGGTTTCTTAGCAAATTAAAAAGGGGTCCCTTCAAGGATTACTGTGCTACTATCCCCAAATGTACGCATTGAAATTAAACATAATAAGTGTAATGTCCCAACCATTATCCTTGATAGATTAGGTAAAATCTATTTGAGGTTTCAATGTGATTCACCAGTTATTAAAACTTTATCATCTGTGCTTGATCACCAAGCCACCAAAACAGCGGGAGGTCCCTCACAACAGCCAAGCCATCCGTGAACCAGAACAGGTAAGTAGGTAATTGCCTGTCATGTATAAAGCAAGTTTGCTCCAAAAACACCAAAAGACAAAACAAATATTTATAACTGCTTTACTTTAACCAAGCAGTCTAGGAAATCAAAACAGGACTTGCCCTTGATGGCTACCTAAACCGCACTGCCAATGATGGCTGCCAGATAGGACACTTGTTTTGGCATTTGTCTGACTGTCACTGCACTGTTATGGCGCATATTTCCAAAAGAAGTTATGTTTGCAATGCCTGCGTCTCATGGAAACTAAATTGAGTGATCTGTAGAGGGCCAGTGTGGATGATACAACTTTGCTATGACAAACATTTCAGGGCTATTAGGTGGCCTAGTAGCTCACTTGGTATAACATGTAAGGTTATAGCCCTGAAGAAAAAACTTCAAATTTGGTCATGGAGCTCTTGAGCTTTAGATGTTGAATTAGATACCCAATCTCACAACCTGCTTTTATCTAAGCTCAACTGTCATAGTATCATTGTGACATTTGAGAGATTTTGACAACCGTTTATACGATCTTGAAGTTATATGAGCCCTGAACCAATGTGCAATGTTTATTGTTGTGCTGTCTTCAAAAGTTTTGGGTTGCTGCTTAAAATCACATTGCTTTCAGGTTTATATCTACTTTATTAATTTTGGATCACCACACTCCTGGTGAAGCACTTGTTTCTACAACTGGGTCACATTTGATAGGGTCTACTTGCATGGAGCTGCAACTATTGTATGAATAACAATCCAAACTTTAAATACAATGCCATGCTTGCTGGATATTTGATGTTTACTAAATGTATATGTCACACTATCATGTCTGCATTCTACATCTGTATAAAATACCACAACTGAAAATACACAAAACACCAATGTCTAATGTAGTCTGTATCCTATATCAGACGTTAGCACTCTTTTGGAAGGTGGAACTCTTGTTAGATTTTGGATATTTAACACCACAACTTAGAACAAACAAAATATCAGTGTTTAACAATGTTAGCAATGATAATTTAATATTGTGTGGACGTTACCATCATGATGTTTAGCAGACATTGGGTTTTGGTTCCCATATCTCATGACCAAATCTTGGTATTCTACGTTAAGATTGCGTTGGCACAAGACGTTTGGAAGACGTTGGGATTGTGGTTACTTAACACCACGACTTAATACCAACAAAATATCAACATCTAATGACGTTGTAATTTAACGTTGTGTGGACGTTACCATCATGATGTTTAGCAGACATTGGGTTTTAGTTCCCATACCTCATGACCAAATGTTGGTATTCTACGTCAAGATGACGTTGGCACAAGACGTCTGGAAAACGTTGGATTTTGGGTACTTAACACCACAACTTAAAACCAACATAAAATCCACGTCAGATGACGTCAATATTCAACATCACGTTGACGTTGGTATTAGACGTTGACGTGATGTTGGAATTTGGTTATCCAACGTCGCAACCTATATCCAACCAAAGATCAGCGTCTTTTGACGTTGGTGGCCAGCTGGGATCTGACAGCTTCAGTTATTTACAAATTAAGATTTAGATTTTTACAGACAAAACAGATAAAGAGTTTTCAAAAATATCTTTTGTTATAAAATAAACTACTCAACAGTTTATAAAAGTAGAAGCTGAATAATTAGGTGATGATCGATGATCGTTTTTAAATTTTGTTTGTCAAGTCAGCAACCCCTGAAAAGCATAACCAGAGTATGTTTTACCTTTAATACTGAAGTATTTTTAAAAGTGGGTACTTTTTGTAAGTTAAAGAAACTTCTACTTTTAGTGGAGTAATATTTTGCAAGGGTATCTGTACTTTTACTGAAGTACAGGATTTGTGTACTTCACTACTGATAGAATAAATGTCATCAGTTGAAAGCAGAACGAAAAGTTCTCGCACTTCCGCTGTCGGAACTTAATCAGTGTGACATCTGGCGGAAGTAAACAATACCAGCTCCAGCTCGCTGGAAGGAGTTGTTGTAGTCGGAGCACCGCTAATTATTTGTTTGTAGTTCAGCAACAATGTCTTCAGTTGAGAGTTTGAGAGAATTTGTTAACGAGCGACTAACTGCTGCTGCTGAAGAAATATTCAGAGTTTTTAAAAACACTATCGTCGAGTACGAGAAAGAGATCGATCGTCAGCGCAGACTGCTGGATATCGCTTGGAAACCCGAAATAAAGTTACACAGGATAGGTGAGGAAAGATTCATTGTTTTAGTAATACAAAACAGAGAAAATCGATTTATATATTGTTTAATATACTAGATACTGGTTCTCGTTTCCTCACGTGTCTGCATTTTCTTTCTTTCCCATCACAGAAGTAAGGTTAGCCTGTTCCTTTTTCTCTCTGTCCCTCCAGAGTTCCCACAGCAACATGTCTGTAAGGAGGAGGAGGTTCTGGCTGACCAGCAGCTCTGGATTCAGGAGAGGATCCCCGGTCTGGACCAGGAGGACCCACAGCCTCCACAGGTTAAAGAGGAACAGGAGGAACTCTGTACCAGTCAGGTGGGAGGGCAGCTTGTAGTGAAGCAGGAGACTGACACCTTTATGTTGACTCCTACTTATGAGGAAAGTGACCACAGTGAAGCAGAACTGAAAAGTGACCACCAGCTCCTCTCTCACAACTGTCATGTAGCTGAGAGCCAAGATCAGAAAGAAGGCGAGCATGAAGACTCAGGATCAACTAGAGATGCAGAGCCAAAACAAAAGAATCAAGATCACAACAGCAGAAGCCCCAGAAACAATGTACACAAGTCTACCATGTCAGAGGTTCACCATGATCCTCACACAGGTAAAAAGTCTTTCACATGTGACACATGTGGAAAAGATTTTCAGTCCAAGTCAGATTTTCAGAAACACCTGAGAATTCACACAGGTGAGAAGCAATTTTCTTGCAAAACATGTAGGAAGTCTTTTAGCCAGAGGGGTAACTTGAATGTCCATATAAGAACCCACACAGGTGAGAAGCCGTATTCTTGTGAAACGTGGAAAAGTTTTTACATTTTGTGGTCAACTGAAATTCCACATAAAAAGAGAACACACAAGTGAGAAGCCATAGCTTTTCACGATGAAAAGTGTGTTGATGCGTCTGATTTGACACGGCACAGAAGGCAGCATACAGACAAGTAATCTTGTAGGAGACAATGCAGTTCTAGAGGTTTGTGGTCAAAATACACAAGAACTCATGGAAGTGAAGAGCTGCATAATTGCAGCACTTCTGCTAAAGGTTTTACTCAAGTCACATACTTGACATTTCAGTTTCATGTAAAATGTTGTCCATAATATGAGATGTCAATTTCTTAGGGCTGTATGACTTCTGCGATGCGCTAAACGCGGACAGAATCAGGAAATTTGATAATAAAAATGGAATCATCTGTTACATGCGGAATGTCGTGGAATCTGCCAAAATATGGCTACAATTAATAAAAATCTGGGTTTTCCCTAGCATTCTATGCTCTCTTTTAGAGCACTCAAGCCAAATGAACAGAAATACTACTGCTATGTTTTGTTTTTATTGAAGTGTCATTTAAAAGGGCTCTGCTTCACTCCTGCTCTCTGTCGGTGTTTCACCGAGGCTGGACACACTGTCATTTATAAAGTCAGCGTGCTAGTTAGAGGTCAACAGACTTAAAAGTGTTACCACATCGGCAGATGAAAGACACAAGCTCGTTGAAGTCTTCGTGGCTGTTTGGGCGGAGTCAGATATTCCGTAAAAAGCTACGTCAAGCAGCAGTTGGAGGCTGTCCTGCAGAAGTCTCGTGGGAAATTTTCAGTAATCAAGTAGTAATCTATTTCATAGGGGATAGATCACAGTAAAAGCATTGCAACAATACATTCATTGTGAATTTTCCCCATAAATAATTTCATATACATTTGAACATTTCTATATGCATATTTAGTTTAATACATCAAATTCTATGATATTGATTACATTTGTAATATTTCTTATGTAGTTATTGAAATTATATTCATCCACCAGATAACACACTTTTTCTTATTATAAAATCAGTTTAAATTGTAAAACACAGAATTCAGAAAGATTAAAGAGGTGGTATTCTGCTTTTTGCCTTTTTCCCTCTCCTTTGAGTTTTATACCTTTTTTGTGCATGTAACAGGTTTGCAAAGTGAAAGAGGGAGTTCACATCTCCCACAGAAAACTCTGCTCTGAACTGCCTGAAAACAGCTTGTTTGTAGTCCAGCCGCTTCCCTTTCATCCCTGTGACGTCACAGGGATGAAAGCTAAATGCGCCTCATAACGCTCGCCAAGCGGCTAGTCCGACACGCCCTCAAAAACAGCGGTGGAAAAACAGTGAGCTGCAGCACACAGTTCTCCTCCCCTTCAAACACTAGCTACCCTCCAGGCAGTCAGTGGACAGGAAGTTGTTCCTGTGATGTAGAGACAGAGCTCAGTTAAAACTTTATGGATGAAAGATACTTTTGTTACAGATTAATAACTCACCACTCTGAAACTCTCGCTCCAGTCCATGTTGCCAAGCTGGTCGGCAACAAAAATATGGTGTTTTTTGAAAATTAAACCTGTTCTGGTACAACCCCTAAATAGGATTTTGAACCTGAAAATGAGCAGAATACCACCTCTTTAAAATTGATTTCATAGGGTCCTACTTTGTTTAAAGTCTCCCTTCAAATGACAGCATTACTTATATTTCTCTTTTTAACTTTATTTAACTTTATTTCTTTGAAACAATTGTAATCTCCAAAAAGGAGGCAACACTTCAGTTTCACAGTGAGTGCAAAGTTGTGGCTGTTAAATAAATAGATTGATCTTGATCGTTGTTGGTTTTGTCAAGTGTCTCTATGAAATGAAGCCTACACATCTTTGCTAGAAGTCAGGTTTTACATGTAAGGGTTACTGACATCTGTGGTAGAAATTGTAAATTTCGTTGTAAAAGAAATGAACCAATTAAAGAATGTTAGAGGTGTCTTTGTGCTGTTTATTAAGAGAGTTAGTTATTTCACCTGAAAGGCATGTCTGCTTCAGAATAGATCATTTTATTAGTTTATAGATCTTTTATTGGTCATGGTCCTTTGCTTTTATCTTATGAACCTTCCATAACCCTCTGGTACCCTGGTAGAGGCCTTTTAATGATCTCTAAAGTCTGGACTCACGTTGAAGTGTCTTTTTATTATAATGGCCCACGTCTGTGGAATGGTCTTCCTGAGGGCAGCAGAGAAAGATGATAATTTTAAAAGTAAACTAAAGACCATACTATTAGTACATTTTACTTTTGATATTAAAAAAGTTTTGAATAAAATATCTTCAGTTGAAAGCGGAACGAAAAGCTCCCGCGCTTCTGCTGTCAGAACTGTCGGAAGTGTGACATCAGGCGGAAGTAAACATAGCGTTAGCCGCATCTTTTAAATTCGATGGAAGAATTATTTTAGTTTAACGCCGGTAATTTTTTAATTTGTAATGAAGCAGCAATGTCTTCAGTTGAGAGTTTGAGAGAATTTGTCAACAAGCAACTAACTGCTGCTGCTGAAGAAATATTCAGAGTTTTTAGAAACACTATCGTTGAGTACGAGGAAGAGATCAATCGTAAGCGCAGACTGCTGGATATCGTTTGGAAACCCGAAATAAAGTTACACAGGATAGGTGAGTAAAGATTCATTATATTAGTAACACAAACCAGAGGAAATTTAAGATACTGTTTACTGGGACTCATTTCCTCACATGTCTGCGTTTTTGTTCTTTCCCATCACAGTAGTAAGGTTAGCCTGTTCCTTTTGTTCTCTGTCCCTCCAGAGCTCCCACAGCAACATGTCTGTAAGGAGGAGGAGGTCCTGGCTGACCAGCAGCTCTGGATTCAGGAGAGGATCCCCGGGCTGGACCAGGAGGACCCACAGCCTCCACAGGTTAAAGAGGAACAGGAGGAACTCTGTACCAGTCAGGAGGGAGAGCAGCTTGTAGTGAAGCAGGAGACTGACACCTTTATGTTGACTCCTACTTATGAGGAAAGTGACCACAGCGAAGCAGAACTGAAAAGTGACCATCAGCTCCTCTCTCACAACTGTCATGTAGCTGAGAGCCAAGATCAGAAAGGAGGCGAGCATGAAGACTCAGGATCAACTAGAGATGCAGAGCCAAAACAAAAGAATCAAGATCACAACAGCAGAAGCCCCAAAAACAATGTACACAAGTCTACCATGTCAGAGGTTCACCATGATCCTCACACAGGTATAAACTCTTTCACATGTGACACATGTGGAAGAGGTTTTCAGTTCAAGTCGGTATTTCAGAAACACCTGAGAATTCACACAGGTGAGAAGCCGTATTCTTGCAAAACATGTGGGAAATCTTTTAGCCAGGGGGGTAGCTTGATAGTTCATCTGAGAATCCACACAGGTGAGAAGCCGTATTCTTGTGAAACATGTGGGAAAGACTTCAGGAACAGCAATCACTTGCAACTCCATATGAGAACCCACACTGGTGAGAAGCCTTTTTCTTGCAAGACCTGTGGGAAAAGATTCTGTGACACTTCAACACTTAAAAGACATATAAGAACCCACACAGGTGAGAAGCTGTACTCCTGTGAAGCGTGTGGAAAATCTTTTAGCCGCAGGGGTTACTTGAAAGTTCATATTAGAACCCACGCAGGTGAGAAGCTGTAGCTTTGCACGCCGAAAAGATGTTTTGATGTGTCTGATTTGACACCTCACAGATGGCAGATTTTTTAAGGAGACCTGTAAAGACACTGTTACAGTTTTTCCAGGTCCTGCTGAGACATAAGTCCTCTAATCCTTGATATATTCTTCAGGTGATATTAGCAATTGTCTTAATGTGGCTGCTTAAATTCATGTCTGAGTCCATGACTACACCAAGGAAGATCTCAGACCCACCCTCCCCCATCACCCTGTGTCGACACTCTGGAGTCCCTCTGCCTCCTGGGAACCATTATCTCCCAGGGCCTCAAGTGGGAGCTGAACATCAGATCCTTCCCCAAAAAAGCCGAGCAGAGGATGTACTTCCTGCCACACCTGAATAAGTTCAGCCTCCAAAAGTCATCAACAAGGCCAAGGACACACTGACACTGGCTGTCATGTAATTCTTTCGATATCTTTACATTTATGTTTATTGTTGTTGTTCACCTAGTCACCAGAATAATTTCCTTGTATGTGTAAAAACAACTTGGCAATAAATCTGATTCTGATAGTGTTACAAAGAGTACGGTCTAGACTTGCTCTATAAAAAGTGCAATGTGACAACTTTTGTTAAGAATTGGCGCTATATAAAATAAAATGTAATTGAAATTTAATAAAAGTCACATTTTTCTTGATAAATAACTTAAAAGATTATTTGATTATCTGTTAATGTTGTTCTCTTTAAGTAATAGGATTGAGACTCGTATCCGAAACCACGGAAAAGTCATCAGAAAATCAGAAGTCACATTAACAATCTTTAAGGTTCATGTAATGCGCTGAAGTCACAAATGTGACATATTGTTACCTCAGATTTCTGCAACAAGTGAGTCTTTGTATTTACATACATTATGTTTGAGCAACAGCATTTCTTACAACAATCAGTCTTCTACATCTGTGAATCTTTGTTTCACCATGAGTGCACAGTAGTGGCTGTTTAACTAAAAGTGTAACGTGGATGGCCAATTGTCATAAATTTCCCTTTTTCAGTATTCCAGCATCTTGTGGTTTTTCTCTAATTCTGGTGTGCAAACACTTCAAAAGACTGACAGGCTGATCTAGATACAGTTTTATTGACAAGAAACAAACCAACATTTTGTAATCAAATAATTGTAAAACATGTGAGCAGTGTTTTTTCTTCACCACCTTTTACACAAAAACATGCATATGACAGCTAAAGTTGAGGCCAACATTATTGATACCGATGCCAAATTTTGATTCATAGTGAATTTTCATTTAACCAGTAGGTTTCATTTGGTTGGAAACGACATAAACAAGTGACAAAGACAGCAAGAAATTGTGTTAGAGATGTTAATGATAAATCTTAACAATTTCTAGTTTTCCTTTTTAATTTGTACATGCCTTGTCTAATGTTATTCATACCCCTAAAAAAGCATTACATTCCACCATGCTTGACTGTCAGGATGGTGTTGTTGGGGTTGAATACCTCTCCTTTCTTTCTCCAAATGAAAGCCATGTATTCATCTCATCCAACCACAGAAGTGATAACCAAAAGCTTTCTTCTTTGTCCAGGTGAGCTTTTGCAAAGGCTAGGCGAGCTTTTGTGGGCCTGTCTCGGAGAAGTGGAGTCCTCCTTGGTCGGCGTCCATAGAGACCAGCCTTGTGCAGTGTAGGCTGGATTGTCTGCCTGGAGATGTTGGAACCAGAGTTTCTCAGATTCATCAGGGTGGCCTTAGTGGTGATCCTTGGATTCTTCTTCTGAGTTTTCTCACAGTGTGGAACTCCTTTTACTTTTTGAATATGCATTGCTCTGTGGCCACTGGCACCTGAAAACACTTGGATATGGCTTTATAGCCTTTGCCTGTCTTGAGAGCAGCCACAATGCACAATCAGAGGTCCTCAGTGAGCTCTGTTGTTTGAGCCATGAGTTGCAGTTGACTAGTAACTAACTAGAGAACTACTGCTTTAGCTGTTCTCAATTTATAGGTGATTTCTATGCTCTATGAACCATTTGAAATGATATAGATGATTTGAAATGGTATAGAAACTTGCATTTTCTCAAAGATTTGCTACAATATCCAGGGTTATGAATAATTTTGGACATGGCATTTTAGTACAAATTTAAAAAAAAACAGAAATAGTTGATATTTATCATTAATAACCTTACCCCTGTCTTACTGTCTTTGTCACTTGTTAATGTAATTTCTATCCAGATGAAACCTACTGGTAAAATGAAAATTCACAGTGAATCAAATCATTTGGCATGGGTATGAATAATTTAGGGCTTAATTTTAGATGAAGTCACAATAGATACGGTGCAGGTTAAAAACTTACAATAAGCTTATGAAACGAGATGCATTGTTTAACTATCCAACAGGATGTAAAATAGGGCAAATGGAGCTCAATGTTGTCTAGTTGCTCACTACAAATGTTACATGTCAGGATATTAGTAATTAAAATATATAGTTATGTGGCACTGATGTAGGCCATTCAGAATACTTAATTTATCGTATTTTTCAAGGGTGTCTCTTTGTGTTAAAAAGTGGTGGAAATATAAGGGCTCAGAGACAGCACAATTGTATTTATATAAAGGGAAATACAAAATGCAGGTGGCAGGTGACAATTCAAAACATAAAAATCATGAAATATAATGCAGTAATAATATTTTTTAGACAATGCACTTTGTTTCTTCTATATTTACTTTGCATGTTTTTATTGTGCAAATAAATCAAAGCATTATCATTTGCTATTTAACATTTCTTGTTTCAAGTTTTTTTGCAGAATATATTTTTTAAAATACTTTCAAAAACTATGGGGACAAAATCAGCCATTTCAACAACTAATGGGCACATGTTCCCAGCGTACCCAGTGTAAATGAAATGACTGGCACTTCCATACTTTAAATAACATTTTGGATGTGTTATGAATTACACTGTAAAGTAATAATATTTTCTTTCATGCCACTTTTTTTACTTCTACTCTACTACACCTCAGAGAGAAATATTGTACATTTTACTTCACTACATTTATCTGACAGCTTCAGTTGCTTTACAAAGTAAGATTTTCATTTTTACAGACAGAACATATGAAGAGTTTAAAAAAATATGTTTTGTTATAAATTAAACTACTTTAAGGTTTCTAAAAGTAGAAGCTGAATAATTAGTTGATTGACAGAAATTTAATTGGCAACGTTTTCAAATTATGTTTGTCATGTCGGCAACCCCACTGGACTTTTAACTTTTGATATTTAAGTATAAAAGCAGGTTTTTGTTAGCTGAAAGAAACTTCTACTTTTAGTGGAGTAATATTTTGCAAGGGTGCAATCTGTTCTTTTACTCAAGTACTGGATTTGTGTACTTCGTCCATCACTGGTGATACAAATTTTGAAGAAAATGTCATCCGTTGAAAGCGGAATGAAAAGCTCCCTCACTTCTGCTGTCGGAACTTAATAGTGTGACATCAGGCGGAAGTAAACAATACAAGCTCCAGCGTTTGCCACAACTTTTGAATTGCTGGAAGGAGTTCTTGTAGTCGTAGCGATGCTAATTATTTAATTTGTAATGAAGCAACAATGTCTTCAGTTGAGAGTTTGAGAGAGTTTGTCAACGAGCGACTAACTGCTGCTGCTGAAGAAATATTCAGAGTTTTTAAAAACACTATCGTCGAGTACGAGGAAGAGATCGATCGTCAGCGCAGACTGCTGGATATCGCTTGGAAACCCGAAATAAAGTTACACAGGATAGGTGAGGAAAATTTTAATATTTTAGTAACACAATACGGAGACAATCCGTTTATATAAAATCCTGAAGTGTTTAAATATACTGGTACTCATTTCCTCACGTGTCTGCATTCTTTCTTTGCCATCACATTAGTAAGGTTAGCCTGTTCCTTTTGTTCTCTGTCCCTCCAGAGCTCCCACAGCAACATGTCTGTAAGGAGGAGGAGGTTCTGGCTGACCAGCAGCTCTGGATTCAGGAGAGGATCCCCGGTCTGGACCAGGAGGACCCCACAGCCTCCACAGGTTAAAGAGGAACAGGAGGAACTCTGTACCAGTCAGGAGGGAGAGCAGCTTGTAGTGAAGCAGGAGACTGACACCTTTATGTTGACTCCTACTTATGAGGAAAGTGACCACAGTGAAGCAGAACTGAAAAGTGACCACCAGCTCTTCTCTCACAACTGTCATGTAGCTGAGAGCCAAGATCAGAAAGGAGGCGAGCATGAAGACTCAGGATCAACTAGAGACGCAGAGCCCAAACAAAAGAATCAAGATCACAACAGCAAAAAGCCCCAGAAACAATGTACACAAGTCTACCATGTCAGAGGTTCACCATGATCCTCACACAGGTATAAACTCTTTCACTTGTGACACATGTGGACAGGACAAGTCAGTATTTCAAGAACACCTGAGAATTCAGACAGGTTGGAAGCCGTATTCTTGCAAAATATGTGGAAAAGACTTAAAAACTAGAAGTTCATTGATATGCCACACAAGAACCCACACAGGTGAGAAGCCATATTCTTGCAACACATGTGGGAAATCTTTTAGCCAGAGGGGTCACTTAAAAGTCCACATGAGAACCCACACAGGTGAGAAGCCGTACCTTTGCAAGACTTGTGGGAAAAGATTCTGTGACACTTCGGCATTCAAAAGACATATTAGAATACACACAGGTGAGAAGCCATATTCTTGTGAAATATGTGGGAAAGACTTCAGAACCAGCGATCAGTTGCAACCCCATATAAAAACCCACACAGGGGAGAAGCTGTATTTTTTCTGAAACATGTGGAAGTTGTTTCAGAGTAACTAGTCAATTGAAAATCCACATAAGAAGAGAACACACAGGTGAAAAGCTGTAGCTTTGCACGATGAAAAGATATGTTGATGCGTCTGATTTGACACGGCACAGAAGGCAGCATACAGACAAGTAATCTTGTAGGGGACGATGCAGTTCTAGAGGTTTGTGGTCAAAACACACAAGAACTCACAGAAGTGAAGAACTGCTCTTGTGGTAATAAGCTAATGGTGTAATGTGGATGGGCAATTGTCATAAACTTTCCTTTTTCAGTATTCCAGCGTCTTCTGTTTTTTCTTAGTAATTCTAGTGTGCAAACACTTCAAAAGGCTGACAGACTGATCTAGATACAGTTTTATTGACTGGAAAAATCAGTTTTGTAATGAAATAATTTTTGAACATGTGAGCAGTATTTTGCTTGGTCTTTGAGGTTGGAAGGCCTCCTTGCCTTGCAGTGAAATTCTGAATGGGCGAGTAGAGGCTACTGGCTTTAACTGGAGAATGTTGGCTGTTTTTCTATGACTGCTCAACTCTTTTTCACTGTTGTTTGCAAACAAATAAATCACAATCAACAGCCAAATAGCACATATATCTTGAAATCAGCAGCCAGCGTGCAGCAGTGTGTTAACAGCAAACAGCTGTTGGAGGTAAGCTAAATACTGGGTCCTAAATTGTTGTTTAAGTTTTCATCAATCGGGAAGTTTTTACACAGAGCCAAAGTCGTTCTCCTCTTCTCCAAAACAAGTGTAACAGCTGATTTCAGCAGGTAAAGCTCGTTAAACATTACGTTCCTCCGACACTCAGGCAGCACAGACGTGATGCTGCAGCTGGTCTGCAGCTTTTGTCGGCTGGTAATGTTGTAATAATCTTCCAAACTGTCGCGATTTTATTTTTGCTTTGCTTTCTCTCAAACTTTGTTGCATGTCTTTTCATTATACTCCCACACAAAAAAGCTGTTTTTAATGGTCACGCAAAGCCTATAGTTTTTCATTATATTCCAATCAAATCTGATGTGCATTTATAATTTTTGCTCATGGATAGTGGTTACAAATAATGATGCCTCTGCATTGCTTTGTACGGCGTACAGGCCTACAGCCTCTGTCAGCTGGTTAATTTTCCTAATCTTCGCACCACTCTGAATGTATGTTTCGGAACATTGTCTGCCACGCCCTTTGAGTTTTCTCACAACGTGGAACTCCTTGTACTTTTTGATCATGCATTGCTCTGTGGCCACTGGCACCTGAAAACACTGGGATATGCCTTTATAGCCTTTGCCTGTCTTGTGAGCAGCCACAATGCACAACCTGGAGGTCCTCAGTGAGCTCTGTTGTTTTAGCAATGACTTGTAGTTGATTAGTAACTGACTAGAGAGCTACTGCTTTAGCTGTTCTCAATTTATAGGCGATTTATACGTGATTACAAATCATAGACAATTTAAAATGGTATAGAACAACAACAAAAGTTGCAACTATATCCAGGGGTATGAATAATTTTGGATACATTAAAAGAACATGGAAATTGTTGAGATTTATCATTAATAACCTCTAACATAATACCTTGTGTCATTGTCACTTTTTTATGTCCTGTCCAGCCAAATGAAACCTATTGGTAAAGTGAAAATTCACTATGAATCAAACTTTTGCATGGGTATGAATAATTTAGGGCTTAATTTTATATGAAGTCACAATAGATACTTTGCAGGTTAAAAACTTACAATAATCTTATGAAATGAGATGCATTGTTAAACTATCCAACGGGATGTAAAATGGGCTTAATGGAGCTCAATGTTGTCTATCTGCTCACTACAAATGTTACATGTTAGGACATCAGTAATTAAAATGTTATACAGTTATGTGGCACTGATGGAGGCCATTCTGAATACTTAATTTAATGTTACTTTCTTTAAATATATTTTGCTGATGGTACTTTCCAAGCATGTCTCTTTGTTTTAAAAAGTGGTGGGAACATAAGGGCTCAAAGACGCACCATATTGGGTTCTTGAAAACTTGATAAGATATTTTAAGAAATATTCAAAGATGAATTATAGCAGGGGGGGTGTTGGGGTCCTCCCCGAGAAAATTTTAAGCATTAAACAGTTAATTTCCTGCATTCTGGTGATATTTTCTGCACCAATTATGGTTGAAATTTCTTTGTTTATATTAAGAGAAACACAAAATTCAGGTAGCAGGTGATAATTCAAAATATAATGGAATATAATACAGTAATAATATTTTTGGGACAATGCACTTTGTTTCTTCTATATTTACATTGTATTGCATGTTTTTGATTGTGCAAATAAATCTTTCTCCAGTCATTTTCATTTGCTATTTAACATTTCGTGTTGCAAGTTTTTTTGCAGAATATTTTTAATAAATGCAAAATTTCAAGTAGTGATGGGGACATGTCCCCAGCGTAAATAAAATGACTATGGTACTTTTGTACTTTAACTAACATTTTGGATGTGCCATGAATTACACTGTGGTACTTCTACTTAAACTATCAAAATACTTTTTTTCGCTAATTTGTGTTTATTGCAAAATTATTATCTGCAAAGTAACAAAAAAAGACATCAAACGCAGTAGTTTACAAAACACTATTTTCCTTGTGTACTGTACTTATGTACAAGTAAGATAGGATATTTGTATTTACTTGAATATTTTCTTTCATGCCACTTTCTACTTCTACTCTACTACACCTCAGAGAGAAATATTGAACATTTTACTTCACTACATTTATCTGACAGCTTCAGAGACTAGTTACTTTACAAATTAAGATTTTTATTTTTACAGACAAAACATATGAAGAGTTTAAAAAAATATGTTTTATTATTAATGAAACTACTCAACAGTTTCTAAAAGTAGAAGCTGAATAATTAGTTGACAGAAATTTAATTGCCGACTATTTTGATAATCGTTTTTTAAATTTTGTTTGTCAAGTCAGCAACCCCTGAAAAGCATAACCAGAGTACTTTTTACTTTTAAAAGCAAGTATTTTTTGTAAGCTGAAAACATTTCTACTGTCATTGGAGTATCCTTTTGTAAGACTTTTTAGTCAGGTACAGGATTTGTGTACTTCATCCATCACTGCTGACAGAATAAAATGGGCCTTTCCAAAACTAGACTCTCAGAGTTCACTTCGACACGGACTGAACTCTGGTCGGAGTCACACTCACAGCCAAATTGAGCTCCGTAAACCACATAAGGTTTAAATACAGTGGCCAACTTTCGGATGAACTACCATCTCCCCCAGCGTAAATAGGATCTGACATTACCGCTGCACTCACTGCTATAACATGTGTATCAAATAAACAACAGTTGTATTAAGAATCAGGATATATGATGAGGAAAAGTGTGGTTTTTGCAATAACAAAACTAAAAGCATTTGTCATTAGGGCTCCAAGGGCCAGCAGGGCTGGGAACCCTATTCTAATCGTATTTGTTTTTATTATTAGTCTTCCGTAAAGGAAAAGTGACACTGCAGCCTAGACAGTAAGTGCTACAGACGCAAAAGTCATAGGGTAGGTCCAGGTCACCGCAGTGACCTCAGGAGCAAAGAAATTTAACACTTCTACCTCTAGTGCGCTATAACCAACATATTTGCATTTGGGCTTGGAACTCCCTCAATCGAAGGCGCATATCAAAAACGTTATATCTACGCATATGAGGGATCAAGCTGAATCTCATGGTATGGGCCACGCCCAAAATTACAAAAACTGAAAAACCTATTTTAATTAAGTCCTCCAAAACCACAAGTCCAATCGGCACCAAACTTGACATGGACAATCTCTGAACCAAGCTGATAAAAGTTTGTAGAGGAAATTTTGATCTGCGAAAAAATGTTCCAAATATAAGCTAACAAATATTTTGCGAAAAAGTTGGTGCAACCTGCCCCTAGGTGGCTCTGTAATGCAAAAAATTTGTTCCTCTATAACCACAAATCGCATTGACATGAAATTTGAGTGTAGTTGTTCAGGATGGTCCCATGACTTCATGGACCAAAGTTCACCCAAATATGTCTATAGGTGGCGTTGTTATTGCAGATCAAAGATCTTTTAAAAAATCCCATTGACTTACATGCATTTTATATCTCCATAACCACAAGTCTGATTGATAACAAATGTGGGTCATTTTTCCCCCATGGGGCCCTGATGACACCTGAAAACTCTGCAGTTTGGCCAAAAGGTGGCGCTATAATCCAAGCTGAAATACCATGGGAAAATCCCATTCATTTCAATGTGATTTTGAGCAAAGGCACATTTTGCCTCATAACTGTGTGCTACTACATCACACATTCATAAACCTTATCTCTACGTGTTTTGGGGGAAACTGCCAAATTGTATGGTATAGGACATGCCTTTGTGCGATAACATGTCCGATTTTGCGTTTTAATTTCGCAAAATTGTGAAAACTCAAAAACCTTTTAATTAACTTTTAATTAAGTCCACTCGGCACCAAACTTGTCACGGACCATCTCTGGACAAAGCTGATTAAAGTTTGAAGAGGAAATTTTGATCCGCCACAAAATGTCCCAATTATAAGCTAATAAATGTTTGCGAAAAACACGATGTGATGTCATATCTTAAGTGTAGAATGGCCAATCTACACCAAACTTGGGGATCTTATTGGCACGCCTTCCCGAGGGGCTATATGAAATTTGGTGTCAATCGGCCTCTAGGTGCCGCTATTAATCGTAAATCAAAACACTCTCATAGACACACATTCATTTTATAACTCCGTAACCACGAGTCCCTTTAATTTCAAACTCTGGTTTATTCACCCCGGGTCCCCAAGGCCCTGGCGGGGTGCCTGGGTCGACTCGCGTGGTTGGCGACTTAGACTTAGGCTAATTAAGAATAGTTAATGCCTTTGTTACTTGTTATGTGATCCAATTGTGTATATAGTTCCACTGTTCTATTATTCTGTTTAATGTAGGCTATTTTGTTTTGGCTGAAGATTTTTGTATATGATGAATACGATTCAATAAAAACAACAGTATTGTCTATCAGACAAGATAATTTTCTTAATAAACAAAAAACCTGTGGGCTAGGCCTACGTTGTTAACCTGTGAGTGGTGATATGAATTGTTAGGGTAGTTTCGAAATTTTTAAATCCTAGCGACTAACTGCTGCTGCTGAAGAAATATTCAGAGTTTTTAAAAACACTATCGTCGAGTACGAGGAAGAGATGGATCGTCAGCGCAGACTGCTAGATATCGTTTGGAAAGCCGAAATAAAGTTACACAGGATAGGTGTGGAAAGTTATATAAGTTACACAAAGTAGTGGATATCGATTTATATACAATCCAAAGTGTTTAATATGCTGTATACTGGTACTCGTTTCCTCACGTGTCTGCATTTGTTCTTTCCCATCACAGTAGTAAGGTTAGCCTGTTCCTTCTGTTCTCTGTCCCTCCAGAGCTCCCACAGCAACATGTCTGTATGGAGGAGGAGGTTCTGGCTGACCAGCAGCTCTGGATTCAGGAGAGGATCCCCGGTCTGGACCAGGAGGACCCACAGCCTCCACAGGTTAAAGAGGAACAGGAGGAACTCTGTACCAGTCAGGAGGGAGAGCAGCTTGTAGTGAAGCAGGAGACTGACACCTTTATGTTGACTCCTACTTATGAGGAAAGTGACCACAGTGAAGCAGAACTGAAAAGTGACCACCAGCTCCTCTCTCACAACTGTCATGTAGCTGAGAGCCAAGATCAGAAAGGAGGCGAGCATGAAGACTCAGGATCAACTAGAGATGCAGAGCCCAAACAAAAGAATCAAGATCACAACAGCAGAAGCCCCAGAAACAATGTACACAAGTCTACCATGTCAGAGGTTCACCATAATCCTCACACTGGTAAAAACTCTTTCACATGTGACACATGTGGAAAAGAATTTCGCTACAAGTCAGATTTTCAGAAACATATGAGAATTCACACTGGTGAGAAGCCGTATTCTTGTGAAATATGTGGGAAAGGCTTCAGAACTAGCAGTCCATTTATATGCCATACAAGAACCCACACAGGTGAGAAGCCGTATTCTTGCAAAACATGTGAGAAAGTTTTCAGAACCAGCAATCACTTGCAAGTCCATATGAGAACCCACACAGGTGAGAAGCCATACCTTTGCGAGACCTGCGGGAAAGGATTCTGTGACACTTCAACACTTAAAAGACATATAAGAACCCACACAGGTGAGAAGCCGTACCTTTGCAAGACCTGCGGGAAAAGATTTGCTTACTCTTCAGCATTGAGAACACATGCCAAAGTCCACACAGGTGAGAAGTCGTAATCTTGTGGAAAATGTAGGAAAGACTTCAGAGTTAGCAGTCAATTGAAAATCCACATAAGAAGAGAACACACAGGTGAGAAGCTGTAGCTTTACACGACGAAAAGATGTGTTGATGCGTCTGATTTAACACGGCACAGAAGACAGCATACAGACAAGTAATCTTGTGGGAGACAATTCTTCTCTAGAGGTTTGTGGTCAAAACACACAAGTGAAGAGCTGCATAATTGTAGGGCTGGCCTGAAAGTCATTTACCAGCGAATAATCAAAACTTTGCCGGTGGGGGGCCAGCAATCACGTTACCCTGATTGTTTAAACATCTGTTGATAAGCAAGCTGTCACTTCAGGAGCTAGAATTGTGTATTTCACAGAAATAACAGAACAGCAGAAGGATGAATGGCCAAAAGTTATAGGACTTGCTCAAACTTAGGTCCGACACTTTCATGGCTGCACTCCATTGACAAATGCAAAAGGAGTCGTTTTCTAGCTTTTTCTTTGCTGTATTTTTCCAGGATATAGTCAAACACTGTTTCTTGGGGCACTTGTAATAATTACAGTCGCTACCCAGAGAGGTTGAAAGGAAAAGTACAATTTATTCTCTTTCCAAAACCTAAAACAAATCCAGAAAAATGTCGGCTGTGGGTTGTTCCTAATATGTTAGTTAGCTAATGCTAGCTAACTTCCTACTGAATGTAATGTTATAAAGCCCTACTATTTTGCTTTTTAATGAATGTAATAGTCAGCGGAGGCCTACCCAGCTGTACAGGAACAGAGTTGATCATTAATATCGTTGTCCTATGTCTCAATCATCAGGTAATATGGTGGTTAACTTTAACTCTGTGATCGTAGGCTTTAGACGATGTGTTTTGAGTCAGTTTGACAGCCTAAATACAACCTTCTAATGCACAATGCAACTGCAAAACTGTCTGCTTCTTTCTGAGATAGATTTTTCCAAAAATTAGACAATATTTCTCCAGAGAGTGAAGTTACAGACAGAGGCAGTGCCGTGATAAATGTCCGGTTGTTGGACTTAGCAATGGTAACTAAGGGGGGCGTGGCTTAGCAAAGGGTCAATTGGCGTGCGAAAAAAACCCCTCAATATTCAAATCCCAAATTCGAAAATTAAATGCGTACCCAACAATCTAATATCAAGTGTCTAGCCCTACGTAATTGCAGCAATTGTGGTCAAAGTCTTGAGGCCTTTTCACACGGGAAGCGATTTATGCACCTCGTAACTCATTTTCAATCAGAGTTTCCCGTGAAACTGTTGCGGTTGTTCTCGTCTCACGCGCACACCCGCCCGCTGCCAGAGTTGAATTGTCTTGAACTTTTTGTAAGTGACGCCCAGCTCAAATCATTGGAAGAGAGACTGATCCTTGCTGCTTATGAGTTTCCAGAATCTGTTAATGTTTACTAAATAGGACATCAACTGGAGGGAATTCGCATGGCAGATCATCCCCACAAAACTGAATGTATCTGGTAAAGTTATGTATAATTTCAACTTGAGTTAAATCGGCTGCAGCTGTTTAGCGCACAGAAGCCATTGCCTTGGTTTCTGTGCACAGAGCGCCTGCCGTTTACTCGCGGAGCGCTGCTGTCTCCCTGTCTGATCACATGTGGAGTGCTGAGCAACCCGCAGGCGTTGTTACTTCCCGTGTGAAAAGACCTTTACTCAAATCACATACTTGAACACACCTGAGGATCAATATACCTCTGTGGTAAAGTCTTTTGAGCGCCATGTATTGTCCCACCTCAAGTCCACTACAGGCCCACTACTGGACCCCCTGCAGTTCACCTACAGAGCCAACAGGTCTGTGGACGATGCCGTAAACATGGCCCTTCAATACATCCTCCAGCAGCTGGACTCTTTATGAACCTAACACAGGATCCTGTTTGTGGATTTTAGCTCTGCTGCTCTCCCATCTGAACGTGCCTGACTCCACCTGCAGGTGGATCACAGACTTCCTGTCTGACAGGAAGCAGCATGTGAAGCTGAGAAAAGATATCTCCATCAGAATCGGTTCATCTCAAGACTATGTTCTTTCTCCTCTGCTCTTCTCCCTGTACACCAACAGCTGCACCTCCAGTCACCAGTCTGTCAAGCTCCTGACATTCGCGGATGACACCACCCTTATTGGACTCAACTCTGGTGGGTATAAGTCCGCCTACAGGTGGGAGATTGACCATCTGGTGACCTGGTGCAGCCAGAACTACCCGGAGCTCAACACTCTTAAGACAGTGGAGTTGGTTGGGGATTTTAGGAAGAGCTCAGACCCACCCTCCCCCATCACCCTGTGTCGACACTCTGGAGTCCCTCAGCCTCATCTTCCAGGGCCTCAGGTGGGAGCTGAACATCAGGTCATTCTTCAAAAAAGCAGAGCAGAGGATGTACTTCCTGCGACAGCTGAATAAGTTCAGCCTGCCAAAGTCATCAACAAGGCCCAGGACCCACTGACACTGGCTTTATGTTTATTGTTGTTGTTCACCTAGTCGCCAGAACAAATTCCTTGTACGTGTAAAAACAACTTGGCAATAAATCTGATTCTGATAGTGTTACAAAGAGTACGGTCTAGACTTGCTCTATAAAAAGTGCAATGTGACAACTTTTGTTAAGAATTGGCGCTATATAAAATAAAATGTAATTGAAATTTAATAAAAGTCACATTTTTCTTGATAAATAACTTAAAAGATTATTTGATTATCTGTTAATGTTGTTCTCTTTAAGTAATAGGATTGAGACTCGTATCCGAAACCACGGAAAAGTCATCAGAAAATCAGAAGTCACATTAACAATCTTTAAGGTTCATGTAATGCGCTGAAGTCCTTCAAATGTGACATATTGTTACCTCAGATTTCTGCAACAAGTGAGTCTTTGTATTTACATACATTATGTTTGAGCAACAGCATTTCTTACAACAATCAGTCTTCTACATCTGTGAATCTTTGTTTCACCATGAGTGCACATTAGTGGCTGTTTAACTAAAAGTGTAACGTTGATGGCCAATTGTCATAAATTTTCCTTTTTCAGTATTCCAGCATCTTGTGGTTTTTCTCTAATTCTGGTGTGCAAACACTTCAAAAGACTGACAGGCTGATCTAGATACAGTTTTATTGACAGGAAACAAACCAACATTTTGTAATGAAAAAATTGTTAAACATGTGAGCAGTGTTTTAATTCTTCACCACCTTTTACACAAAAACATGCATATGACAGCTAAAGTTGAGGCCAACATTATTGATACCAATGCCAAATTTTGATTCATAGTGAATTTTCATTTAACCAATAGGTTTCATTTGGTTGGAAACGACATAAACAAGTGACAAAGACAGCAAGAAATTGTGTTAGAGATGTTAATGATAAACAATTTCTAGGTTTCCTTTTTAATTTGTACTTAACATGCCATGTCTAAAGTTATTCATGGCAAAGCCATAAGCAGAACGGTGCGGATCTTATAATTGCTAACAAGCTTTTTGCATGTCTCCACTGGGATTTTGGACCACTCCTCGTTTGCGATGATCTCTTGGTCTTTAAGGTTTTTTACAGAACTCCTTGTACTTTTTGCATTGCTGTGTGGCCACTGGCACCTGAAAACTCTTGGGTATGGCTTTATAGCCTTTGCAAAACTTTGCATGAATAATTTGTATGCAAAGTTTTGGAAACTGCATTTGCATCCAAATGAAACCTACTGATAAAATGAAAATTCACTATGAATCAAAATTTTGCATTGGTATGAATAATTTGGGGCTTAATTTTATATGAAGTCACGATAGATACTTTGCAGGTTAAGAACTTACAATAATCTTATAAAATGAGATGCATTGTTAAACTATCCAACAGGATATAAAATAGACAAAATGGAGCTCAACATTGTCTAGCTGCTCACTACAAATGTTACATGTTAGGACATCAGCAGTTAAAATGTTATATAATTATGTGGCACTGATAGAGGCCATTCTGAATACTTAATTTGACGTTAGTTTCTTTAAATATATTTTGCTGATAGTACATTCCAAGGGTTTCTCTTTGTGTTAAAAGGTGGTGGGAAAATAAGGGCTCAGAGACCGACTCTGACCGACTTAGCTCACGACATGTGATGATGCACCATATTGGGTTCTTGAAAATGTGAGAAGATATTTTAACACTATTTGGAAGACATATTCAAAGATGAAATATAGCAGTGGGGGTCTTGGGGTCCACCCCCAGAATATTTTGAGTATTAAACAGATCATTTCCTGCATTCTGGTGATAGTTTCTGCACCAATTTATGGTTGAAACTTTTTTATTTATATAAAAGGGAAACACAAAATTCAGGTGGCATGTGAAAATTTAAAATATAAAAATGTAATGAAACATAATAAAGTAATATTTTTGGGACAATGCACTTTGTTTCTTCTATATTTATATTGTATTGCACGTTTTGTTATTGTGAAAATAAATCTTTCTCCAATCAGTTTCATTTGCTATTTAACATTTCTTGTGAAAGTTTTTTTTTGAGTATTTTTAACAATGCAAAATTAGCCATTTCAAGTAGTGATGGGGACATGTCCCCAGTGTAAAGTAAATGACTATGGTAATTTCATACTTTAACATTTTGGATGTGCCATGAATTACACTGTGGTAATTCTACTTAAACAATCTGAATACTTCTTTTACCATCGCTTATTTGTTTTTTTTGCGCAAAATTATTATCTGCAAAGTAACAAAAGGCATCAAACGAAAAAAAGACTATTTTCACAAAATACTTTTTTCCTCGTGTATTGTATTTATGTAGGTAAGATAGGCTATTTGTACTTTACTTGAGTATTTTCTTTTATGCCACTCTGCCACTACTACACCTCAGAGAGAAATATTGTACATTTTACTTCACTACATTTATCTGACAGCTTCGGAGACTAGTTACTTTACAAATTAAGATTTAGATTTTTACAGACAAAACATATGAAGAGTTTAAAAAATATGTTTTGTTGTTAATTAAACTACTCAACAGTTTATAAAAGTAGAAGCTGAATAATTAGTTGATTGACAAAAATTTAATTGCCGACTATTTTGGTGATCGTTTTTAAATTTGGTTTGTCAAGTCAGCAATCCATGAAAGCATAACCAGAGTACTTTTTGCTTTTGATACTGTATATATGAGTATATTACAAGGGTATCTGTACTGTCAAGTACATGATTTGTGTACTTCATCCACCGGTATTGAAAATAAACAAGTTTTGAATAAAATGTCATCCGTTGAAAGCGGAACGAAAAGCTCCCGCACTTCTGCTGTCGGAAATTAATCAGAGTGACATCTGGCGGAAGTAAACAATACAGGCGCCAGCGTTAGCCGCAACTTTTGAATTAGCTGGAAGTTATTGTAGTCTTAGCGCCGGTAATTATTTAATTTGTAATTCAGCAATAATGTCTTCAGTTGAGAGTTTGAGAGAGTTTGTCAACGAGCGACTAACTGCTGCTGCTGAAGAAATATTCAGAGTTTTTAAAAACACTATCGTCGAGTACGAGGAAGAGATCGATCGTCAGCGCAGACTGTTCGATATCGCTTGGAAACCCGAAATACAGTTATACAGGATAGGTGAGTAAAGTTTAATTATATAAGTAACACAAAACAGAGGAAATCGATTTGCCTTTACAAATATACTGGTACTCGTTTCCTCACGTCTCTGCATTCTTTCTTTGCCATCACAGTAGTAAGGTTAGCCTGTTCCTTTTGTTCTCTGTCCCTCCAGAGCTCCCACAGCAACATGTCTGTAAGGAGGAGGAGGTTCTGGCTGACCAGCAGCTCTGGATTCAGGAGAGGATCCCCGGGCTGGACCAGGAGGACCCACAGCCTCCACAGGTTAAAGAGGAACAGGAGGAACTCTGTACCAGTCAGGAGGGAGAGCAGCTTGTAGTGAAGCAGGAGACTGACACCTTTATGTTGACTCCTACTTATGAGGAAAGTGACCACAGTGAAGCAGAACTGAAAAGTGACCATCAGCTCCTCTCTCACAACTGTCATGTAGCTGAGAGCCAAGATCAGAAAGGAGGCGAGCATGAAGACTCAGGATCAACTAGAGATGCAGAGCCAAAAAACTAAAGAATCAAGATCACAACAGCAGAAGCCCCAGAAACAATGTACACAAGTCTACCATGTCAGAGGTTCACCATGATCCTCACACAGGTAAAAAGTGTTTTACATGTGACACATGTGGAAAAGGTTTTCAGTACATGTCAGATTTTCTGAGACACTTGAGAATTCACACAGGCGAGAAGCCGTATTTTTGCAAGAACTGCGGGAAAAGATTCCGTGACTGTTCAACATTTAAACAACATACAAGAACCCACACAGGTGAGGAAGCCATATTCTTGCAAAACATGTGGGAAAGACTTCAGAACCAGCGATCACTTGCAACTCCATATAAGAATCCACACAGGAGAGAAGCCGTATTCTTGTGGAACATGTGGGAAAGCATTCAGAGTTAGTGGTCAATTGAAAATCCACATAAGAAGAGAACACATAGGTGAGAACAAAAAGAGTCACAAACGTCTATTATGATCAAAATAAGGTTGATTACAAACAAAGTGGAACAGACAAAGAACAATGGTGGCTGCTGCTGCTCCTGGCTGCAGTGTGTGAGAGAGAATGGGTGGAGCTAGACAGGGACCCAGGGAACGGCACAGAGTAACTTTGGACATAACAACCACTGACAGATAACAGGAAAATGTAAGCCTCACTGTTTCTGCATCATGGTCCATTATAAACCACAAATCCATGAAGTTTACAAAGGCATTGTATGAAATTACAATCCAACTATAGAAAGGTTAAAGGTTTAGCTGCTGATCTGAGCTTCGATGCTGTTACCATTTTATTGCCAATAATATTCATCAGCTGTTTGACTCACAAAAGGTAACGGCAGATTTCTGTCCATGTTGCAAAGTCATAGCACAGCGCTGTAGAATAACTACATGAAATTACAATCCAACTACATATTATTTTCTCCCACGGCAGTAAGGGTTTATCTGGCTGATCTGAGCTTCTGTGCTGGAAGCTACAGTTTTATTGCCAATTAGTGATCAGCTGATTGTCTCACAAACATAACCGGCAAAGCCAAACCACAGGCTGGAGAATAAATAGGTGACATGAAATTAATCCAACTACAGAGGAAACACGTCACTTCTCTCTGTGATTACGCCCATCTTCTAGCTAAAGCTATCAAACAGCTTTCATTTGTTAGTCCAACTAACTTAATCACCTGTCCAGCAAAAAAACCGTCAACTTCAGCGCCGCTTTGAAAACATCTGCCCCACATCAAAACCTTCCATCTGGGAAATCCACACTGATGATGATTTCTGCCGTCATCTGTCTGTATCTGTCCCGACTCCGTCTGGCTAAATGACACGTTCGCTCATTCATTTGTCCAAATGTCACTTCTTACTTCTAATAAACAAAAACACTACTCAGAGACTGTATGATGTTGTTGTTGTTGTTGTTATTATTTCCTCTTCTTCTACGGACACATTTAATGTAGTGACAGGCGTCTACACTGCCGGAATTATACAAGAAGACGACAAATAAAACTCTGTAGCGCTGTTTGTCCATTGTCGGCTACTGTAGGAACGTGGCGACCTCCATAGAAGGAGGTGCCCGCGGTTACGCAGATATAAATGGCTCATTCTAAGGTACTAAAAACATAATGGTTCATTATGTAAGCCACTGAAAACATATTTATGGATCTTATATTGTCAGTTTCTGTCAATAAATACTCGGAAATATTACACACTGAACCTTTAAAATACATCTACATCAAGTAGTGTTTTATAGTTCCATATGAAGCCTACACATCTTTGGAAGAGGTCACATGGTTAAGAGTAACTGACATATGTGATGGTAATTTTGTAAAAATGTCCCCTGTGAATGTTTTTTTTTTTTTTCAAATTACATTTTCTGTATAATCAACAAATATATTAGGTGTTCTTGAATCCATACATATTAAGAAATCCAAACATTAATGACATGAATTAATAAAAAAGTGGAATGACACAGGAAAAAAGTATTGTATAAGTAAAAAAGTAAGTATATATAACACGCCATCTGAAATTTATTTAATACTAAATGTTCATAAACTGCAGACTTTAGATAATTTATCATCACTGATGAGCCCAATAAAGACAATTAGCCAGTTTTAAACAGCACTTTGCTTAAATTAAAAAATATATATTATCTCTTTTAAAAAAAAATCTTGTGACCTAAAAACTACACAAAATTAGGGACAAAGTCCGGGCCATGCACGTTGTTTCCTAAGTTGTCTGCCTCAGGGCCATCCAGGTCAGCTCTGCATCAGTGCCATCTCGGCCCCCGTCTGCATCAGGGAAAAGGCAAAATAGCCAAAGAAGATTTGTGTTGTAATTTCACAATTAGCCACAACAAACCTGCTCACAACAGTGATCACACTGCAGGGCTTTAAATGTTAATAAAAAGATTGTTTTGTAACTTACGAATCGTTCTACATTTCACCAGAACCAGAACCACAATGCAAAGAATGAAAATACCACCAACAGTGGCACTAAGCTTCCTCTTTTCACCATCTGAAAGAATATCAGAGAGACAGAGTTGACAAAAAGACACAATGTCGATTTATTTATTTCATTAATTCCTGTTCAGTGTACTGCTCATGTACTATCCATCCTTTAAACCTGATGGTGTCTAACCAATCAGATGGTTTTATTTGTCCAGGTTTTGGGATATCTGTCCACTTGAGACTGCCTCCTCCTGAATGTGGAGAATTAGCAGTTCAAACAGTAAACCCAATTATGCAGAGTATTTTTATTAATAAAAGGAAGCTAGCTATCATGAGACACCCCAGTGCCTATCCTTCCTGTTTTGATTAGCGTTAACCTGTTGAGATTGTTGAGGAGTTTAAATACTTAGGAACCATTTTTAATGTAAATTAAGTTTTATAGCCAACACAGAGCGCATTTTTAAAAAAGTAATCCAGCGTCTGTATCTGATCAGGAAATTAAACTCATGACAAACAATATTTAGTGCGTTTATCAAAGTCTAATTGAAAGCATTTTAACTTTTACATGGTATAGACACTTGGGGTCGAAGGACAAAAACACAATGTGCAGAATCACAGATATGGCTGAAACAATTGAGATGTACAGGTGCTGGTCATATAATTAGAATATCATCAAAAAGTTGATTTATTTCAGTAATTCCATTCAAAAAGTGAAACTTGTATAATGTATACATTCATTCCACACAGACTGATATATTTCAAGTGTTCATTCCTTTTAATTTTGATGATTATAACTGACAACTAATGAAAACCCCAAAATCAGTATCTCAGAAAATTAGAATATTGTGAAAAGGTTCAATATTGAAGACACCTGGTGCCACACTCTAATCAGCTAATTAACTCAAAACACCTGCAAAGGCCTTTAAATGGTCTCTCAGTCTAGTTCTGTAGGCTACACAATCATGGGGAAGACCGCTGACTTGACAGCTGTCCAAAAGACGACCACCTGACACCTTGCACAAGGAGGGCAAGACACAAAAGGTCATTGCTAAAGAGGCTGGCTGTTCACAGAGCTCTGTTGCAGCGTCTGTATTTTATGCGTAAACTAAGACTTTTTAATGTAGACAGAGATATATTGGTCCTCTTCTATCGCTCCTTTGTGGAAAGCATACATACAACTTTTTGTTCCATTGCCATTTCACATTGTCAGTGAATAATAAAAAAAGTGCATCAGATAGTTAATATGTCCAGTAAGATTGCCGGGGTACAGCAAACTAGCATGACGATGACTTGTGAGTCCCGAGGAATGGGCAGGCGATTATTAGAGATGTATCACATCCCCTGTTTGGCGAGTATGAGCTGTTACCATCAGGCAGAAGGTTTGAAGAAGAGTGCCATCTCTCCGAACCAACCGGGCCCGCAGGTCATTTGTGCCTATCAGCATTGGATTTCTTAAACAATGAGATAATGAAACAGCTGAATCTTGGGGTGTCAGGGAGCTGCCCCTTAGTGAAATTTGTATAGCACTTGGGGGGATGTTTGTTTTGGCAAAGCAGTTGTCCGGTTGTTGGTTTGTTGAGTGGTTCAATCCTTGGCTCCCACTGGTTGCGTGTCGAAGTGTCCTTGGGCAAAATACTGAACCCCGATCTGTTCCGCCAGTGTATGAATGTGTGTGAATGTTAGTTTCCGTTTGAGCACTTAGGCTCAGTGTGAATGCAGGTGTAGTGTAAAAAGCGCTTTGAGTGGTCAAAAAGACTAGAAAGGCGCTATACAAATACAGAGTTTATCTGACATTTGCTGTATGAATGAATTTCCGCAAGGACTAAATAAACATCTTTCTATCAGTTACTTGTACTGTATTGTACTGTGCCTATGTGGTCTTATTTATTGTTTGCATTGTGATTTTTAATGATGTGGCTTTTTTAACCAGCCTGTGAAGCCATTTGTGAAGAATTTGTGACCAGTAAAGATCCCTTTACGCTAATAGATAATCCACAGACCTCACTGATTCTGAAAAGGAAGTTGCTGTTAAATTTTTCAAATATTATTGTTTCAAATGGTCTGACCACCACAAGTTAAATTCCATTCACTTTAATTGTCCTGGGGTGGAGGCAGATCTCTTAAACCAAAACTCTCATCATGATGAGATACTACTAGAGAGAGCAACATAAGTAAGAGTGCCTGTCAGGGTCAATCAAACTCTGGGTGCATTATGACTGTAATTTGGTTTGTTCAAGTATGTCGAACCCTCCTGCCGACTAAACAACAACACTTCCATGTGGACTTGTGTGAAAAAAACATGTTTACAGTTTCGGTGTGAGACTGGGTGACAGCTGATAAACTACAAAGGGATGGCTCTGGTTGGAACATACATCACACTGCTATGCTTGTAATTGTACAAAAAACAAAAACAAGCAGTTGCTCAAGAATTTCTTTTAACGATCCTGTGTGGCTGATAAACAATACTTCAGTCCTGTATTGACAGACCCCTCAGAGTGAAGCAGTTTTTACACATGCTAAGGTAATATGATAACTGTCCCTCTGAGCACCTCTTGTGGAGCAGTGCAACAGCAGGAATTTCATGCCAACATTACTTTTATAATTATTCCTATCAACTTCAGTGCTTTTAACCTGTGCTGCCTGTTAGGACGCTCACTGTTGTCTCTCTACCTGTAGAGCTAACTTTGTGTTGTCTGTTGTTAGCAATATCACTGCTATAAGCTGACATGTCTTTCAAAAGGGGGCATGAAGTAAAAAAAACAAAGTCTGGGAAATGCCAGGATGACTTTCCAATATATATTTACTTCTAACAAATTATTCTACTGATTTCCAGAAAGTAAATTCATTTCTAAATGCTGAAAATGTCCTGATTTAAAGACATCCTGACATTATGGCTATGAGTTTCATGAGAAACCTGTTATTTGTGTAAAGATATTACTATCAATGTTAATGTTCAAACTTAAGCTGCACATTTCTACAAAATTCTTCTTTTTCTCAAAGATCGAGAAATAACCAATTAAAAACGAGTACTTCACCAGGATTGTCCTGCTCATCCAGTACAGGTGTGGTCGTGCTGGAAACATTGCCGTTTCTGTTCAGTTGACCTTCGGTCACTGGTGAAAACAAAAAAACCAAGACAAAAATGTTGTCAGTTGTCAGTACTCAGAAAATAGACTAATATCTTCTAGTAGTCAGACAAAGGGACCTGACTGTGAGCTTTAGTGACTTGTGAAGGATAAGGTATTGCTAAATTTAACAGGTTACAGCTGTTATTTCAATCTGATATACATGTTTAATCAGCACTGCATATCCTCTTCTGCATTATATGTATACTGAGCTCTTTGCACATGAAAATCCATCTGGATGAATTAAACAAAAACAAAAAAACTTTTTAGTATGACACTATGAACTCAGCATGCTCACCAACAGTGAGGTTAGTAGAACAGTAGGTCCTCGGTCTTGAGAGAAAGCATTGGTATTTTCCACTGTCAGTGTCCCATACACTGACAGCTGTAATGGGGAGATGTGCGGAGTCAGGATTCCTCTCTTCTTCCTCACAGAAAGGCCGGGGCAACCGGGGTTTGAACCCACAACCTTCATGCCGTGAGGCAACAGTGCTAAGCACCGCACCACCATGCCACCCTGAATAATGACGCTTTTGTCATTTTTACAAATACAATAAAAAAGTTTTACAAATTTGAAACTGTGTTTAATTGAAACGTTAGCCTCTGTGGAATAATGTAGTCTGGATATGAGAACTCTAGGTACAGTGTTTGATCTGGACCTGGTCTCATGTGGTCTACATGCGAAAAAAAAGCAGATAAAAAGCTCTTTGAAGTATTTTCACAAATTGAATAAAGGTTTCACAAATCTGAAACTGTGTTTAAAAGAAACTTTATTCTCTGTGGAATAATCTAGACCAGATTTGAGAGCTCTAGGTATAGTGGTTTTGTTTCAGGACCTGGTCTAATGTGATCTGCATGTGGAGAAAAAGCAGTGAAATTTACAAATTTCACAAAAAAATAAAGTTTTTTCAACTCTAAAAAAGTGTCTCAGACAGCGTTAAGGCTTTGCCTAAAATGCATAACAGCTTTCACAGCAGTAAGAGGTGCGATTAAAGTCTAGCAGTTGATTGTTGAGAGTTGCAGATGTGCAAAAAGGTCGTTAGGTATATCAAACCTTGTCAGTTATCATTGCATAGTGATGAATAAACCAATAATTCAAGTACTAAAACTGACAACTGTGGGAACTGGGTCTATAGGCTAATATAACCAACGTTATAGGCAGAGATTAATATATACTTAAATACTAGCTTAAGCCTTGACAGACAGACACTTCATTGCTCATTACGTGGTCACCGCGTTCTCCCATGAACAGCAGCACAGCAGGATACTTGACTCTCAGTGTAGACTCCTGGCTTCTGCCTCCTTCTTGGCACAGCCGACCACTTCAACCGCGCTACTCATTCAGTTCGGTCGTTATAGCCTACTGTAGCCTACATGTTTCCAGAACTCGGGAATTCATCCTAATTTTGCTGTTCTGCTTCTGTCCTTCAAATACCTGTAGCTCCTGAAGTGACAGCCTGTTTATGAACAGGCGTCTGAACAATCGGCAGTCGGCATAACGCGATCGTGGAAGCTTTGAAACTCAGTGAACTTAGTTAACAATAAAACTTACTGACAGTTCCCGCAAACGGCAAAATACAGAGTAGCTTTGCAATCAGCGCCATGATCCAAGGGGCTCACACAGCGGCTGGACATGCTTATGGGTGTTCCTCTTTTCTCCTCGTCACATTGAGGCGCTTGTAGACACCATCAGCCCGACGCAGCCTCTCCGTCTGTAGAGGAGAGTCTGTACTTTTGAGGGTAACGTTATTGAAACTCCTGCAGTCGGGATTTCTAAATACCCGGTGGGCCTATTACGCCTATACGTTGTATGGTTAACGATTGTAATGCATGTTGTTTCCCAAGTCGTCTGCATCTGTACCATCATCTTACCTCTTAAGCCCTATTAAAATAAAACTATGTGAGAAGTTTAGAGGGGAAATGTGTCTTTGGGAAACTTCTAAAAACTCGTCTGATACATGACAAGGAACCCAAACTACAAGTCAAATAAAACATATGAGTAGGCTACTTTAAGTAATAATACTCATTCCCTTTTACTAAGTAGTAACATTTGTATGCAGGACAGAGGATGGAGTACTTTTTCTTGAGTAAAAGATCTGAGTAGCTTCTTCCACCCTGAGTATTAGCATAACTGTTTAATTATAATCCATAAATCATTGTGAAAGTCAGGCAGCCATGTTTCTGCTTGAGATCATAGCTGGTCATTTATTATTTTTGTCTTAATGTCTATAATATGGAATCATTTTCATTTATATCAGAAAAATGATCGGCTCATCCTGCAGGTAGATCTTAACGATAGTCTATAAAACAACAAGAGTAACAACTCAGAACTGAACCTTTTATTTCCAAATTTGTCACAACACCACATCCATAAGGCCACCGACTCACTGCACATTCTGGGTGGAATCAGATAACAAGGAAACAAAAGGCGTCCAAAAATATGTTTCTTCAATATAGAATCATATAAAACAGGGTTTTCCGTTTTCAAAGAGGGCAGACGAAGAAGTGAGCCAACACAGTCAGAGATATTTACACCATTAACAACACAATAATGGCATGATTTTTAAAAATAAAAGCACAGGGAAAGTTGGCTGTGACATCTGGAATACAGTTCTTTACATACAACACAAATAAAGTACAGGTATAGTTAAAATCCTTTCAGATTAGCTGTTATACTGCAGGCAGGTAGACGTTCAGGTGGATTATGGCTGAAATGTCACATTTAAGCCCAGAAAGCAAAGACAGTACAGAAAAGGAGAGGAAGGTTAAAGTATATCTGAACTAGTGTCTAAAACTGGAGTTACAGACAGGATGTGATCAGCTGTCTGTGTTTATATTCAGCTTTTATTAAATCACAAGAAACAGACGGTAAACACACCTGCACAGGTTAAAAAGTAGTGCTTCATCAAGTCCTTCAGTTCTTCAGTTACAGCAGGAATATTTTAAATTCAACTGAAGTCTGAACGTCAGAAGAGGAGGACTGATATCTAATATAGTGTCAGTTTATAAACGCGCCGTTTATCCTTCGTCTCCTGACAAAACTCTGCACGTCATCTTAAAGGTAAGAAACCTGTTACTGTAGAGGGGAGACGGCAGTACATGAACTGTGACAGTAGTTTGTATTTTATTGCACTTTAAAAACACATTTAGGAGTGCATTCAAAACACTGAGTCTAGCTGTAATAAAATCTGCTGTGCAGCTGCCTCGTCTACTTCAGGTTTACACTTAGCGCTCAAATGATTACTCGATTACTGAATTAAAATCAATTCATCTGAATCTGTTGAAGTTTTCTACGAGATTGATAATGATAAAAAAATAAAAAATAAAATAGATTAATAACAATTAAAGTGATGTTTTTCAACATTGCTGTTTACAGATTTTGGGCACAGACCCGCCTCCTGACAGGACGGTGAGACAATGATCTTTATGGAAATATTGGATTTTCATAGTCAGGTATTTAATTCACTGCATTAAGCAATAACAGACAGTCTCTGCTGTGTCTGGGTTTTCTTTACGTGTACAGTGGGTACGGAAAGTATTCAGACCCCTTTAAATTTTTCACTCTTTGTTTCATTGCAGCCATTTTCCAAAAATCAAAAAAGTTCATTTTATTTCTCAGTAATGTACACTCAGCACCCCATCTTGACAGAAAAAAACAGAAATGTAGAAATTTTTGCAAATTTATTAAAAAAGAAAAACTGAAATATCACATGGTCATAAGTATTCAGACCCTTTGCCGTGACACTCATATTTAACTCAGGTGCTGTCTATTTCTTCTGATCATCCTTGAGATGGTTCTACACCTTCATTTGAGTCCAGCTGTGTTTGATTATACTGATTGGACTTGATTAGGAAAGCCACACACCTGTCTATATAAGACCTTACAGCTCACAGTGCATGTCAGAGCAAATGAGAATCATGAGGTCAAAGGAACTGCCTGAAGAGCTCAGAGACAGAATTGTGGCAAGGCACAGATCTGGCCAAGGTTACAAAAAAATTTCTGCTGCACTTAAGGTTCCTAAGAGCACAGTGGCCTCCATAATCCTCAAATGGAAGACGTTTGGGACGACCAGAACCCTTCCTAGAGCTGGCCGTCCGGCCAAACTGAGCTATCGGGGGAGAAGAGCCTTGGTGAGAGAGGTAAAGAAGAACCCAAAGGTCACTGTGGCTGAGCTCCAGAGATGCAGTCGGGAGATGGGAGAAGTTGTAGTAAGTCAACCATCACTGCAGCAATCCACCAGTCGGGGCTTTATGGCAGAGTGGCCCGACGGAAGCCTCTCCTCAGTGCAAGACACATGAAAGCCCGCATGGAGTTTGCTAAAAACACCTGAAGGACTCCAAGATGGTGATAAATAAGATCCTCTGGTCTGATGAGACCAAGATAGAACTTTTTGGCCTTAATTCTAAGCGGTATGTGTGGAGAAAACCAGGCACTGCTCATCACCTGTCCAATACAGTCTCAACAGTGAAGCATGGTGGTGGCAGCATCATGCTGTGGGGGAGTTTTTCAGCTGCAGGGACAGGACGACTGGTTGCAATCGAGGGAAAGATGAATGCGGCCAAGTACAGGGATATCCTGGACGAAAACCTTTTCCAGAGTGCTCTGGACCTCAGACTGGGCCGATGGTTTACCTTCCAACAAGACAATGACCCTAAGCACACCGCTAAAATAACGAAGGAGTGGCTTCACAACAACTCCGTGGCTGTTCTTGAATGGCCCAGCCAGAGCCCTGACTTAAACCCAATTGAGCATCTCTGGAGAGACCTGAAAATGGCTGTCCACCAACGTTTACCATCCAACCTGACAGAACTGGAGAGGATCTGCAAGGAGGAATGGCAGAGGATACCCAAATCTAGATGTGAAAAACTTGTTGCATCTTTCCCAAAACGACTCATGGCTGTATTAGATCAAAAGGGTGCTTCTACTAAATACTGAGCAAAGGGTCTGAATACTTATGACCATGTGATATTTCAGTTTTTCTTTTTTAATAAATTTGCAAAAATTTCTACATTTCTGTTTTTTTCTGTCAAGATGGGGTGCTGAGTGTACATTACTGAGAAATAAAATGAACTTTTTTGATTTTTGGAAAATGGCTGCAATGAAACAAAGAGTGAAAAATTTAAAGGGGTCTGAATACTTTCCGTACCCACTGTATTTTGATAGTTGTGTAACTCCTGCTTTACCTTTAACTAATAAACGGAAACAGCGGTAACGACAACAACAGCTGCTGTGAAACAAAACAACAACACAGATAGTGAAGGAATGTGCGGCTCCGGTCTTCTTGACCGTGTCTTCATGTTCTAATCAAACCGTCCTCAAGCATCTCGAAGGCTCCGCAGTAAATCCAGGAGCGCCTCTGTCCTCTAGCAGCTTCCTCAGAACGTCTCCAAACTTTCAAAATAAAAAGACTACATGGCAGTGAAACGGGAATCTCTGCGGCGTCCGCCCTCCAGCACGGCTCAGGCGTAGAAGATAAGTTCGGGGATCTGGCCTCCCTGCACCCCGGTGCCATTGGTGCTGTCCGAGGAGCACTGGAACTGGAAGGTCACTTTCCCACACTGCACCTCTGTCATGCCCTCCTGGCCGAAGTAGCTGAGCTCGTTGCCGTCCAGCACCACGCTGGCGGTGTAGAAGGTGTCGGGCTCGATCTGCACCGGGTAGTCGAACCACACGGGGAAGGTGCTGCTGGAGCCGTCCGAGAAGTACTTGATGATCCTCTGGGCCATCGGCACGCCCTGACGCTTCAACTCGATCTTGGCGCTGTACTCGGCTGAACCGCAGCTGGAGCCGTACAGGCCGAAGCCGGCGATGAAGACACGCTTGTCCACGGCGAACTGGATGCTGTCGCAGCGGCCTCGGTAGCGCCACTGGTTGCTCCTGTAGGCGCAGGACTGGAAGCGGTGGCAGCGCTGCGGTGACAGGCCTTTCCGAGGTTTTGTGCAGAACAACAGTTCAGGCTTGTTGGCGGCGGTGTACCACAGGAAGATGTCGTTGGTCTCGTTGAGCGTGAGCACACCGGACTGCGCTGCCCCGTTGGCAAAGTCCTCCAGCGCCATGGTGGGGATGCGGATCAGGTAGATGGCCTTCCCCAGGACCAGGCGCTTGTTCTCTATAGTCGGCGTCATGTCTTGCCGTTGACACTCGGCCTCAGCCCAGTTCAGCGCCGCCTCAAACACCACCATCTCTTTGGCGTTGAGCGTCTCTCGCCGCAGGATGCTCTCCAGTGTCTGGGTGTCGATGTCGCAGAAGCCTTCGGAGCGCAGAGCGAGCTCGGCCTGAGCGTCGATCACCTCCCAGCAGCGCTGAGTCAGGTCGGGCTCCTCGAACAGGCAGCTCTGAGACAGAAGCACGCAGGCGTTCTTGGCGCTCAGGCTCGTCTCCAGGAAGCTGACGCAGGCCCGGGCCAGGTGAGGCACGATGTACTTTTTGGAGGCGTAGAGGGTGGCAAGGACCGTGTCGGCGCACAGATCGATCTCATCACAGTAGATGTACCTGGGAAGGTAGAGGGTGGGTTTAGCTCACTTTGTGCTGTTGTTATTTATTGCATGTATTAAACTGATTATTTGGAGTGTCTGGTGTTTCTATAGAGAGACAAAGCTAAATGTTTACAGTCCATAAACACTGAATGAATCGGACAGACTTCAACATGGCCAGGAATGAAGGAGGCTCCACGTCAGGGATCCGGATCTCATCCTGATCCTCGGCCAGTTCTCCATAAAACATGGCGTGGAACACCGAGCTGCCGACAGCCAGGACGTACTGACAGAGCAGAGGAACAACATGGACACCATAAGAGACAGTTTTTCATCGGTTTGTTTCCGGCTTAATTGCTGAAACACATGTTACCTTAGACAGAAATAGTCATTGGAAAAGGAAGACGGGGTTTTTAGATTAAAGAGCAGCAGTGATTGCTCAGAGGAAACAGAGCCGGGATAGGAGCCACGCTGGCCCAGCTTGGACTTGGAAAGAGGTGGTATTCTGCTCACTTTCAGGTTCAAAATCTTATTTAGGGGTTGTACCAGAACAAGTTGGTTGGTTTAATTTTCAAAAAACACCATATTGTCATACTGCACATTGCTGCAGCTCCTCTTTTCACCCTGTGTTGAAGACTTCGTTTTAGCTATGTAGTGATACATCTTGTCTCTAAATGATCTTTGTTGGGAGTTGCACATGCTCAGTTCCTAGTTAATGACTACTAGCCAATCAGAAGCAGAGAAGGGCGGGTCAGTGAGAAGCAAACAGTGCTTCGGTTCAGCTGTACATGTTGCCGACCAGCTTGGCAACATAGACTGGAGCGAGAGTTTCAGAGTGGTGAGTTATTAATCTGTAACAAAAGTATCTTTCATCCATAAAGTTTTAACTGAGCTCTGTCTCTACATCACAGGAACAACTTCCTGTCCACTGACTGCCTGGAGGGTAGCTAGTGTTTGGAAGGGAGAGGAGAGCTGTGTGCTGCAGCTCAGTGTTTTTCCACCGCTGTTTTTGAGGGAGTGTCAGATTAGCCGCTTGGCGAGCGTTATGAGGCGCATTTAGCTTTCATCCCGAAAGGGAAGCGGCTTGACTACAAACAAGCTGTTTTCAGGCAGTTCAGAGCAGAGTTTTCTGTGGGAGATGGGAACTCCCTTTGGGCTTTTTCACTTTGCAAACCTGTTACATGCACAAAAAAGCTATATAACTCAATAAAGGAGAGGGGAAAAGCAGAATACCACCTCTTTAACGGAAATCAGAGACTGTTGTGCCTAGGGCTGCATGCAGAATCTTCTGGGTGTAGACATGTCTGCAATATAAATAACTGTATATGTTGTTAAATTTTATTTCTTTTAAATGTTCCCATATTTTAATATAAATTTAATTTCTGTTAAGTTCTATGAGTAGCATGAAGGGACTACAAACTTTCATTTCGTTAAACATTGTGTTGTAACCCTTTCATGTATAAAAAAAAAAACAAAACAAAAAAAACACTTTTTTAATATTAGCTCCCTGATAATGCTGAATCTGCATTTTTAAAATTTGTTCTAGTTTTCAGCCTCTTTGCCTCATTTAGAAAAGCAAACATCACTTTGTTTGACAAATCCTGAACCACAAAGCTCTACACCCTGCGGCAGATTTCCCACCTTTCAAATGCACATGAATTACTGCCTGCAGAAAACAAAACGGTGTTCTCATGGAGCTTATTTCCCCCCTCTGACCCCGGATCTGTAGCATGCGAGTGGTTTTACCTTGTGCCCTGGTACTCGCTGCGTCCCGCCAGGCGGCCCGACCACAAAGTGAACATCTGCCATCGTCTCATTGTTGAACATGACTGAATTCCTGGAAGGACAAAGACCATGTTAACAATTTGTCAGAAAAACCGAGCATGTTTCCACACAGTACTATACCCAGTGTGTGAAATTCAAGGGTTTTGTTTAATGAAATGTCAAAGCAACAAATCCCGGAGACATCCACTGTTTTACAGGCACAGTCCCTAATAAAAGTCTTGTCGCTTGTGTACAAATTGACCTGAAGTGCCGCTGAAATATATTTCTAATCAAGATTTTTTTTACAAGAAATGGCTCATTTTAATCCCAACAGCATTTGTAATAATGTTTTAGTGCAAAACGAAACTGTCAAAAAGTATTCTAATATTCACAGCTTGGTAAAGCCAATTGAGTCAATTTTTGCAAAGACATAAGTGTTGTCGCCTTGTCATATGAGCTTCACCTGTGACTAATAATGGATCAATTAGGTCTCAGGTGTGTATAAAAACAAACCCAGTACACTAGACCTTCACATCAACAGCAATTAGACCTCTGCAAACATGCCTGAGAGGCTGAAGACCAGATCCACTACTGATGTGGCAGACACCTTCAATGTGTCCCAGCGTCAAGTACAGAGGATACTGGAGACATTTTTGACAAGCCCAGGTCAGGCAGACCCCGCAAGACAACTGCTCGAGAGGACCGTTTGTTGGCTCGAAAATCCAAGGCCAGCCCACTTTCCACTGCAGCAGAGCTCCACGAGACCTGGTCACCTAAAGTCCCTGTGTCAACCAGAACAGTTTGTCGGATTCTGTCTCGAAATGACCTCCATGGTCGAATCAGTGCCCAGAAGCCAGCACTAAACAAAAGACAATTGAAAAGCGGTGTGGCATTTGCCAAGGCCCACAGCCTGCTAAAAGGATGGACGCTGGAAAAGTGGAAGAAGGTGGATTTTTCAGATGAATCTTCTGTTGAATTACACCACAGTCGCCGCAAATATTGCAGACCTACTGGAGCCCGCATGGATCCGAGATTCACCCAGAAAACAGTGAAGTTTGGTGGCAGATAAATCATGGTCTGGGGTTACATCCAGTATGGGGGTGTGCGAGAGATCAGCAGGGTGGAAGGCAACATCAATAGTCTAAAATACCAAGAAATCTTAGCTACCTCTTATATTCCCAACCATAAAAGAGGCCAAATTCTGCAGCAGGATGGTGCTCCATTGCATACTTCCATCTCCACATCAAAGTTCCTCAAGGCGAAGAAGATCAAGATGCTCCAGGATTGGCCAGCCCAGTCACCAGACATGAACATCATTGAGCATATGTGGGGTAGGATGAAAGAGGAAGCATGGAAGATGAAACCAAAGAATATTGATGGACTCTGGGAGGCATGCAAGACTGCTTCCTTTGCTATTCCTGATGACTTCATCAATAAATTGTATGCATCCCTGCCAAACCGCATGGATGCAGTCCTTCAAGCTCATGGAAGTTATACAAGATATTAAATTTGGATCTCACAGCACCACTACTTAATTTGCTGACATATTTTTGTATTTGCAGTAAATTTGTTGTGAAACTAATTTATTTCAGTGCATTAAACATAATTTGGGAGGGTTTTAGCTTTTCATATGAGCTATTTCTAACACCAATTGATTAATTAAAAGTCAGGTTAATAGCAGGTGTTTCTACAAAATCGACTTTTGTCAGGGACTGTACAGCAGCATAAATCAAGTTCTTTAACTTGTGCGTACTCCTGGAAAGCTTTTTAAAACTCCTATGAAACCTGTGATTTTGTGATTTAAAAATAAAACTGACTCAACTAATTACTTTTACTTTGGCAGCAAATGCTTCCTCATTCTTTGTAAAGGTAGAAATGACCAAGCGATCAACAATTGAACACACCCTGACTACATATTTAACTCTATCCTGCATAAGTAAAATAAAGTGCATCGGATAGATAATATGTCCAGTAAGATTGCTGGGGTACAGCAAACTAGCATGACGATGACCTGTGAGTCCCGACTGGTGAGAAACGGGCGGGCAATTATTAGAGATATATCACATCCCCTGTTTGGCGAGTATGAGCTGTTACCATCAGGCAGAAGATTTGAAGAAGAGTGCCATCTCTCCGAACCAATTTGTGCCTATTAGCATTGGATTTCTTAAACAATGAGAGCGGTTGTCTGGTTGTTGTTGTTGATGTAGTTCATCTGACGTTTGCTGTGTGACACAAAATGAATTTCCGTGGACTAAATGAACATCTATGTATCTAGCCAGTAATGCTGTTAGATTAGACAGATCACAACTATTAACACCAATCCAACAGATCTCTGTGACTTCAGCGCGACTTGCAATTTTGACCAATTATCGCAAACTTTTCTGCAAATTTAACCTATCATTGCCATTTCCTGCAAAACGCTGTCACACAACGCAAACTAATTTCCTATTTTAGAAGACGCAGCAGACATGTGACACCAACGTCTCACAATTACCTACAAAAAATAAAAGGACCATGAAGACCAGGATCCAAATCTCCTTTACCAAAGCGGGGAAGCTGTCCTGCAGAACGGGCAGTATTTTGGTCAAACATAAAAGAAATCATCTCCTGACAAACACTTTGCCGCCACAAAACATATGGAGAGAATGTCAGAAACACGTGGAGGACGTCAGAGACACTGAGACACAGGTCAGCTGCAGGAAAGAATCAAGGTCGGCTGGTTTAAATATGCAGGGTTAGGGTTAGGAGGGACTGTTTAATGATTCATCTACAATTCTAACTTTAAAAATATCACATCTTTTTTTGTTGTGGTTGCTCTGTGTGTTTATCTGTTGACTGTCTGTATATTGACAAATGGATAAGTGTACTTCTTTATTTTGTCAATGTTCTGTTGGTCTGGTTGTGATAGATGTTAGGACCCCCTCAAAAACTAGATTGTGCCTCTCAGTGGACTTACCCTAATAAATAAATTTGTATATATATATTTTTATATTTATTAGGCAACAATCATAAAGAAATGCCGCAAAATCCTGGAGAGACTGATAACAGCGGCTGTCATGTAGGATGATATCAATTCTAATTAGCTTTATTGGCATGAACGTGTAATAACAATATTGCCAAAGCATCATATAAACTACATAAGAACAATCAACCCCATACAATATATATATATATATATATCTGGGCTTGGTGAGTGCAGGTGTCGGCCTATCTCTAACCCTTATTAATGCTTTGAGTATTAAATATATGCATACTGCTGCTCTGTATAGGACTGGACTCAGATGTCTGCCACTGCTGTGCCTTTATTAAACTAACTGAGAACATGACCTCTGCGCTCCTCATCTGCACAGGAGCAAACAGCTCACAGCTATCCGGAGACTTTGGGGTTCAGACTGACCTCTCCCGGATTGTCGGGTACAGGCCCTGCCAGTTGCAGCAGGCCTGGCCGGTGGTGCTGGTGCTGGTGTTGTTGTTGGTCAGGTTCTGCTGCTGGTACTGCTGGATGGAGGAGGAGGAGGTGGTGCTGCTCGCTGAGGCGGAGGGGACCAGCTTCTTGGTGGGAAACAGCTCTGCAGCCATCATCGATCCGTCAGACCGCAGGCCGGGTCATGGCAGGTCCCGGGGGCCGGACTGAACTGCTGCTGCTGCTCATGGATGAGTGACCGCCAGAGTCCGGAGAGCCCTGCGGAGAAACAGCAACGACACTTGGACTAAAAATGTGGACATTTATTTTACGCCCCTGCTGCTAACTTGACCTTAGCTAAGCTAGCCACACACCGTCCTTTACACCAGCTGCTTTGCTTTAATGTTAATCAATCAAACCTTACGAGACTGATAACACGAAGTCAAACCTCTGCAGTCAGAAATAAAAAAGTTAACTTAGTCCGCATCCAAACGCCGGAGCTATCTTTAGCACGTTCATGCTAACTGGCTAGCATTAGCTGACTACATTTTGCGAGTTAATTTCTCGGTCAGCGTTAAACTATTTGGTTAACACTTCAGTTTCCACTTACTTTAGTGTTACGCAGAAGTATGTCTGATCATATCTCATCACACCAGGGGGTTTAATAGTTGTCGAACAGGTTTGCGACTCAGCTTTGTTTACAGCTCGCTAGCTTCCTCTACTCATGTTTACGGTAGAAACAACTCGGTAAAAGCTGCACCGCCGCCACCCGGAGGACAGAGAGGGAACTGCAGCTGAAAATCACTGTTTCCGGTCTGTACTGCAGTTATACAGTAAAACTCATCCATATACATTCTGTCTCAAGTGTCTTTTAAACTGGGGACTCTGGGGACAGGTACCCATCAGTTTTTAAAAAGAATTTGCTAAACATATTCTGCAAAATAGCGACAAGAAATGTTAACTATGCACAATAAGAAAACATGCAGTACAATGCATATATAGAAGAGAGAAATGTGCATTGTCCAAAAAAGTAACTTAAGCTTAAAAAACAAGAAATATGCTACTGATTACTGCATTATATTCTGTTATATTTTTATAATTTGAATTGTCACCTGCCACATGAATTTTGTGTTCACTTTATATAAATAAATGAAATTGAAGCAGGACATTAAGTGCTTAATGCTCAAAATCCTCTGGAGAAGGACTACTCATAAATTTCAGCATCAGCATATTTTATCAAAATGGGGTCAAAATATCTTCTCGTCTCGTTCTGGTGACCCCAATACTGTGCATTGTCACGTCTTGTGAGCGAAGTCGTCTCACCCTGCAAGACCTTTCTACACTAAGTGATGTCCTTGCATTCTGTGTTTTGGGTTACTGCCCAGCAATTGATCTTGTCCCAAAAAATAGTTTTTCCAGTCATTCTGGTAATAGCAACAGATCTATAAGAGCTCTGTTCCAGAGAGATATTTCCAGTGGTGGACAGTAACTAGGTGCATTTACTCAAATATTAATTTGAGGTATCTGTACAACTGTTTTCTTTCTACGTCTACTCCGCCTCATCTCAGAGATAGGTATTGTACTTTTTATTACATTACATTTACCCGGCAGCTTCAGCTACTTTACAATTTAAGATTTTTACACACAAAACAGATGAAGAGCTTATAAAATGTGATGTTTTGTTATGAATTAAACTCAAAAAAGTTTATACAAGCTGAAACAATTAGTCGACTATTTTGATCATTTAAGTCATTTTTCATGTGACAACGTTTCATGGTTTCATCTTCACAGATTAATTATTTTAATAATTTGAATGTTTGTTAATAACGTTGAGGTTTGGACTGTAGGTCACTGTGATGGCATTTCTCATTATATTCACAGTCAAACAGGAGAACCCATTCCTCCCTCCTACATCGGGTTACGATTCAACATGAGACACAAACTCCACATCCTGCTGCGATCTTCACTTCAAAAGGGTCAAATAAAGCAGACACTTCTTTTTTCCGAATATATTGAATTTAGGACATTTATTTGTGCACATTGCTCTAAAGCATTATCGATCAAGACACCGATACATGTTTGATGTTTAATGCATATTAAATTGACACTTTCTTTAAAGTCATCTCACTCTGACTTGTTCAAACAGAGAATCTAATTTATTGAGCTCAGCATGTAAAACCCGCAAAACAGCCAGTGCTGCTGCATAGTGCTGAATTCATTCTATAATAATTAAGAATAACATCTTAATATGTGATAATGATATTAATGTGCCAATAACATCAGCAGCAACTGACGAGTTTATTTTGTCAGTATATATAATTACTTACTTACTCTATAATGTTTTTCTCTATGTTAATTAAATTCTAATTGTTCTAAACTTTTTTTTTGGTGAGGTGCCTTCATGAACCCATACAGTATCTCACAAAAGTGAGTCCACCCCTCACATTTCTGTAAATATTTGATTAGATCTTTTCATGTGACAACACTGAAGAAATGACACTACAATGTAAAGTAGTGAGCTGTAAATTTTCTGCCCCCTCAAGATAACACATCACACAGCCATTAACACCGACACCCCTGGTACCGCGGGCAGCAGGCGTTTTCAGTCCAAAAATCAGTTGATTTGTTTCTCCAATCACTGTGGGATGCTCCGTTCTCAAGCTACAGGCCTGTAAAGCATTTTGCATTTGGTGACGGGAATGTTGATGAATATTCACTGTTTTTAATCAACATTTCAATGTTGTGTTATGTTATGTGGAATGTGGTTGTATGGACAGAAAGAGTGTTTTAAAGATAACTCCCAATAAAAGTCAACATTTAAACAGTAAATATTGCCAAAATATGGACATTTGCCTGGTATATTTTGAAAATATTGTATGATAGTTTATTTTCATCAAATTTACAGTTACAATTGCATTCCAGGTGTATTAGAAGATATTCAGTTTCATTAAAATCTGTCTTACGATGGTTTGATGGTTTATTGCATTAAAAATTTTCTATTTTTCTTTATTGCATCTCCATTTAGTCTGTAATGGTAAAATAAATATGTTAGTTTCTGACCTTTCAAAGGAGACCAGAATATTCCTGATTCATTTTGGGTATGTTATTTTAAGTGTTTTTCCTGGAAATAGGGGCAAATAGCTGGCTGTTTCCAACAGGTTAATGTCTAAACCCTGGTGAGACAATCTGACAGCTTACTAAAAGCTCCAGCTTGTGAGCGACTTGTACATTTGAGGAGGATGATAAACACTTTTGTGAGATATTATACTAGTTTAATCTCACCAGTTCTTTTATTCCATGAATGCTTTATGTTGTATTATTTTCTTACACACTACAAATACAAACTTAGTTACCGTCACAGCATGCAGCTTCCTGTATGTTAAATTTGTGAAAATGCCTCCATGTTGTTGTGTTTAAACAAACAACTCATCACCATCATGATACACAACATATTCCTTTATTGTTGTTACTGATAAATCTGTCACTCTCCCATTTTTAAAATAAAGAACAATGAAAAAAATAAAGAAAACAACACGTGTGTATGTTCTTTATGTACAGCCAGATCTATAATCTCTCTTTAATAGTTTCACACATTAAAAGACAACAATCATTTACAGGCAAACCGATGACAGTTCAGCTCTGCGTTTGGCCACTGAAGACAACAAAATATGAATCTGACCCACTCCAGCTGCCTACATCACTACTGCCTAGTGTTACTGCTGATGTAGTGTGAGATGCTGAGTCGCACTAAATTCAAAATGAGATTAAATTATTGGCGGATTCTATTGCTCTGAAAGTGAAATAAAAGTAGACAGATTCTAAATGGAGTCTGGTTTTATTTAGCTTTGTTGATTCTGGTTCTTAATGAATCCTGGTTCAGTTCTCTTTGGATTATTTGAGTATGAAAATAAAATACGTAGCAAAAAAACACCTTTACTTTCTTTAGGCTTTTCTTTCATTCAGGCCGCCGAACACTGGAAGTGTTGTGAGAACTTCTGCAACGCTGGGAATAACAGCCACAACATGCACCCAGACTCCATCAAAAATATTCACAAATCTTGTGTCCGTCACTTTAAGCACAGATCCACTGAGATTCTGCTCGTTTACTGCATCCCGTTAACATTTTCTGTCACTGGACATCAGTGACTCCCAGCCTTTAAAGTAGAGGTTCTCAAACTAGCAACCCCTCATCCCAGGCTGCAGTTCAACCAGAGACAGATTTTCCCTTCTTTCTCAAAGCGTTGCATTTGAATATATATATATATATTTTGCAGCCTGAAGAGGTGAAAGTATTAATATACAAGCAAATATTGGAGAAAAGTCAGATAAAATAACAGCTATTATATTAATTTCCTCTTTTTAATCACCTCGCGAGCCTTTGGAGGAGTCCTGACACTGCAGGTTGGTAACATGTTATGATGCAAGTTAATTTCAACAAATCCATTCTGGATTTCACTCCGGGTCCAGTTTACTCTAGCTGAATCTAAAGATGTTCAGAACATTTGCTGTTGCTTTTGTGTTTCAGCTTGACCAAAGGTTGCGTGGCCGTAAAAGTTACGAAGCGAATTTCTTTATGAACTATGGATGCACATTGTTTTCATGCTTTAAAATTAGGCGCTTCAGTTTACAGGCTTTCTTACTTTGGAGAAGAAACGTGTGAGGGATGAATCTGAACTGACGGATTCTCTCGTTGTTTTCTTCACGGATTTGAAGTTAAAGTGTCTGGATATAAAAAAGTGCCGGAATCAAAGGTTGAAATAATGTGAAAGGTCACAAAACAGTTCACTCCAAAAACACCAGACTCCAGTCATTTTCTACATTATTTTAGAGGAAATCTTAATTTGAAACTGCAGCCACTGTGTTTTCCTTTTCATACAAGTAATGTTTAATCGTTGGCTCTGGGTGTAAATGATTTGTTCCCTTAAGTACACCTCGCTTATAAATAGATCTGCTTTAATACTTAAAAACTGTACACATATCCATTTATCCCCCCTTCCTTTTTTTTAATACACCGTTTCACTTTACGTTAAAAGAACCCACAAAGAGTCCCACCATCTTTGAGATGATAATTTGGTAAAAAAGCAAAAGCAAAGTGTTACGTAGTGCTGAGAGGTAAAGTCCTGTAGTATACGTACTTCTAACAACACCAGCAGAAACCCCAAAGGAATAAACGTCACTTTCAAGTAAAACAGATAATACGTCTTATATCTAAAAATATCTACGTGTATCTTACAAGTCTGTCACCAAACACAAAGAGTCGTTTAAAAAACTAGTAATCGCTCCAAATAATAATTACACAAAATACAGTATTTCCAGGCAGTCAGCATATAAAGCATGTACAAATCTGGAGGGGAGCTAAACAGATGTCACTTAAAGTGTTGCACTATTTATTATTTTACAACAAAAAACTAGCTAATTAGCATTTGCAACAACAACTGGTAAGGTTTAGTAAGAAGTATCTCGTCTCTTGGTTGAATCTTTTGGCTTTCATTTGGCGTTTTTTTAAAGTAGAAATAAATACTTTATGTGATCAAAGTAAAACAAACGAATGAGATAAGTGTCACTGCAGGGTTTTTTGTGGCTGCAGTTCGTCTTGATTTTTCAAACTATAAATACACAACAAAAGCAGCAGGTTTTTTCCAAATCGAGCCTCGCTGCCCCCAAAGCTGATCAGAACAAACGAATGAGAAGAGATTCAGTCCAAAGTGTTTTACAAACATGTGAGGAAGGAAACTTTTAAACCTGAAATATTTCTGTTATTTCAGGATGTTTCCAGGTGAGATTCCACTTTGGAAAGAATCTCCTTTATTTTCATCTATGACTACCAAAGTGTCACCTGACAGCAGATGTGTTTCCAGGTGAGATTCC